CATGTGCAGTCTTTTTTTTAATACAGTGTTGGCTTCAGTTTATGAATATTTTGTTTTGAATTTTTACATCTATAGTCATGAGTGACATTGGGTTATAATTTTCCCATGTATATTTTTCTATTTCCTGAAAAAGTTTGAATAAGATTATTGTTTTTGAACTCACTTATAAAACTATCTGGTCTTGTGGGGATTTTTTTGTAGGAAGAGTTTTAAAAAGGTACTCATTAGATTTCTTTAACAGTTATTAAATCATTCAGTTATTGTATTTCTTCTAAGTTTAGATCATTCATATTTTTTAAGAAATTTGTCTCTTTTTCTTGGCTTTCAAATTAATTGGTGTAAAGATTCATAGTATATAATTTTATCTTTTAGATAACTGCTACATCTATAGCATCTACTTACATTTTTTATGTATTTATTTATTTATTTTTAGAGGCAGGGTCTCCCTGTGTTGCCAAGGCTGGTCTCGAACTCCTGGGCTCAAGTGATCTGCCAGCCTTGGCCTCTCAAAGTGCTGAAATCACAGGCATGAGCCACCGCACCCAGCCTACTTTTTTCTTATAATGTTTATTCATACCTTTTTTCATTCTCACCAAGATTTGCTCATTTTATTAATCCTTTCAAAGAACCAATGGATAGCCTTGTTCATACTCTTCTATTTTGTTACATCTCTCCTTTCTTTCTCTTTCTCTTTCTCTCTCTCTCTCTTTCTTTCCTTTCTTTCTTCCTTTTTTTTTTTTTTTTTTTTTTTTGAGACAGAGTCTTGCTCTGTTGCCCAGGCTGGAATGCAGTGGCGCGATCTCAGCTCACTGCAAACTCCACCTCCCAAGTTCAAGCGATTCTCCTGCCTCAGCCTTCTGAGTAGCTAGGATTACAGGCACTTGCCACCATGCCTGGCTAATTTTAGTATTTTTAGTAGAGACGAGGTTTCACCATGTTGCTCAGGCTGGTCTCGAACTTCTGACCTCCTGATCTACCCGCCTCCATCTCCCAAAGTGCTGGGATTATAGGCCTGAGCCACCCTGCCCAGCCCATTTCTCCTCCTCCTCCTCCTCCTCCTCCTCCTCCTCTTCTCGGTGTTCTTTACTGTGGGTCGATTCTGCTGTTATTTTGATAAACATAATTAGGATGCTTCATTTATTAATTTTAGCATTTCTCCTTTCCTTGTGGGACTTTTTTATAGCTGCTTTCCCGAAACTACAGATTTTGATAAATAGTGTCTTTTTCATTTTTTATTTCTAACATTTTCTAGTTTCCATTAAGATTTCTTCTTGGACCATGGATTATTTAGAAGTATACGTGTATGTGCATATATGCATTTGCATATATGGGTGTGGGCACACATACACATTCTCCAAATGCACAAAGTTTTTTTCAGTTACCATTTTCTTAATGATTTCTACATTATATTATGGTCAGATAATTTCCAGATACTTTGTGGACTGGTGCCTGGTCATTTGTTACAAACGTGTACTTTCCAGTGCTTAGGTGCAGTGCCTCTTCCTCATCTGCCTATAGCACTCACCCAACCCGTCTCACTTGCTTAACTCCCAGGCAGCTCGGACTTTCCCTGATCTCCTCGATCCTGATTGAAACCTCTCACTCCTAAATGTCCTCATTACCTGTTGTCATACTCCTGTTACAGCATTTATCATGGGGTCTTGTATTTATTTACTGCTCTGTCTTGCTTACAAGAATAGAGACTGGGGGCTCTTTTGAGAAAGAGGACTCATTGTCTTTAGACCTAGTATTTAAGTGACAGATCTTTTGTTTCTTAACCTCTCCACATGGTAACTTCTATTCATCCTTCAAAATCCAGTTCAAAGATGATTTTTTTTTTTTTTTTTTTTTTTTTTGAGATGGAGTCTTGCTGTCACCCAGGCTGGAGTGCAGTGGTGCAATCCCAGCTCACTGCAACCTCTGCCTGCCGGGTTCAAGCCATTCTTGTGCTTCAGCCTCCTGAGTAGCTGGGACTACAGGCATGCACCACCACACCTGGCTAATTTTGTATTTTTAGTAGGGATAGGTTTTTGCCACGTTGCCCAGGCTGGTCTTGAACTACTAACCTCAAGTGATCCACCCACCTTGCCCTCCCAAAGTGGGGGGATTACAGGCGTGAGCCACCATGCCTGGCCAAGACTACTTCTGGTGTGAGGAGTATGCTGGTCCAGGCACCACACTGGAAGAATCACTGAAAAAAAAAGCAATTCCCATTTGCCCCATGTGAGGAAAGCTCAGTTTCCCCATATACGTGGCATGCTTCTAGGTGCTCCTTGATATGATTCCCTTTGTTGACCCAGAGCCCTCTGTTAGTCCTGAGCTTTAAAACCAAAGTTTGTCTCCAACCAGTTCAGTTTGCTTCCCCTCCTAGGTCTGCTTCTCCAATTCCATAGTTCCTTTGAGAAAGAGGTTTTCACCCTAATTCTCTGTAGGTCCATTTACTCCAACCTCAGAGCAAAGCTGCTTTCCTCCTATTCCTCTGACCCCCTGACCCAGTTAGTATCCCTAGGGCTCTGCCCCTTCAGCAGGATTTCCCTGATCTCAAGCACCCATACTTCCCATTACTTTCCCGGATCTGACCTCCTATTTGTATAAACACAACCTGGATTCTCTAGCTCACTGGTTTTCTCACTCCTGTCTCCATTGCTGCTCAGCTGAATGTCTAGGGATCCAGATCCTCCGTGCTGGATCACAGCATCCTGGGACCTTTGACATTCCCCTCATCCATCATCTTCAGCTCTATCCAGGTAGCTGCATTCTCTCTGCAAAAGGTTTCTGCTCGTCTCTGCTGTGTCCCCACTCTCTGACCCAAGTCTGAGTCCCGCCTTCTCATGCCCAGTCCGAATCCCACCTTTTCATGCCCCGCAACCCCAAGCCCATCTTCCTGTATGAGATTGCAGAGGACACTAGGGTGTGCCGCTATTTGATCTAACCCACTTCTCTTTCTCCCAGCCAGGCTGATTACCCCTCAAGGCCGTCAAGGCTTTGGGAGGGGACGGGTTTTATCTTGGGGGAGAACAAAATTAAACTGTGTTCAAATTACTGATCAGTTAAAGTTTTATAATACTGTACAATAACATTTACCCCCAAACGGAATATTACATTTTTGATGAATCATAAGGCACTTTAAGTGATTAAAATGCCTTGTCATTAGGCATATTAATTATTATGGGTAAGTGAAAATGCAGAAAAATGAAATTAGTAAATCTTTCTGGTTGATAGCATGATGGATATGTCAGCTTTTCCTCTACTAGAAAGGAGCTAAAATAGAGTAACATCAATGTGCTCAATATCGGCCTCTGCGGCCTATATTTCAGGTTGTCAATGGTACTAAAAACTTCCTGACATATAAAACTTAGTGGAGTATAATTATGAAAGTCCATTTAATAGTTTTAAAGCACTAACATTAAAGTTATTCTATATAGGAGACTTCAGCCCATAATTAATGTTCACCACAATATGCACTAAATCTTTCTGGAGTATCATCCCCATCTATCTAATCAGAAAGTTATTGCCCTACTAAAAAGATACTCAACAAGTCCGCTATATCCAATTATATTTGTATTTCATCTGGTTTATAGTATTTCTTTGAAGCTTAAAAGTTATATGTCAGATGCAAAAATAATTTGCAGCAACATTCCAAAACAGGGGAACCATTTAATGTTTTCATAAAACACAACTGATTTATGAAGAAAAAAAGATGTCTTTCTTTGAAAATTACTTTCAAAGAGTTTTAGGGTCAAACTACCATTATGATGATTTTCTCCACAGAAAATGGTCTGGTGTAGGCTGCAGTCAATTGCTACATAATTTTTTATCCATCAAGGCTTAATGGAAAGAAGTAAGATGAAAAGGAAATATAAATTTAAAATCTCTGTTCATGGTCTAATGGCCTATTATCCAGCCAACTTTCTACTTGCAGAAAGCCTTCATTAAGACACCATTAAGGATGGCATTAAAACGTCTGAGCTGTTCTGGGTTGTAAGTTACGTCTCACACAAATTTTACTTGCGCTCCTTCAGCTCTAATATCTGTATCTAAATATCTATTGTGTTACTTATATTCCGCTATAGGAGTGTAATGGTACAGACTTGCAAAATATAGTCCTCAGTTTGAAAAATTTCTTCTTGAAAGTATAAAATTTGATGAATTTTTTAAAAAAAGAGGTCAGGGGCAGGAGAGTAATGGGATGGATTTTAATTACTCCTTTAATGCCTGTATTGAAGTTCTAAAGGACAGCCTATTTGGCACAAGAGTAAAAACATACCCAGCAGTTTCATGAAGACCATGACCTTCCAATCAATGGAGTGTGAGATCTCCAGGCCAACTTAGGTCATTTTCTGAAAGAAGCTGCTGTAACATTTCTCTTCACTCTCAACTGTTCCCCTTGGAAGTAGTTTCGGGGCCTAGCCTCTCTCATTCCCAACCTTTGCCCATGATGGGTCATTTGAGGAAGTACCATAAATTTTCTTCACCCTAAATATTCCATTTTGATAGTGAAGATTGGTTTCCTGAACTTTCCATTCAAACTAGAAATCCACTATCATTTAAAGTCCTTCCATTAGGAAGCTGCTTAGGATATTCCGTCCATAATGACTTAGTTGGGAAGTACAGAATTCCTTATTTCTGAATTGGTAAATGAGGTTTCCAGATGGGCAAGAAGGCATGAAATTTGGGGCACTATCTCCCTCCTAGCCCTTTCCTGTCCAATTTGCTCTTGTTCTCATATCTCTAGCCATCTCTGGCTCACACCTGACCTCACTCTAAGAGCAGCTCTGGTGGTGGACAGGGGGTATATATGAAGCAACTGCCTCAGAAGATCATTGGCTTAGGATGAAACTGCATTCTGCCCGGAGGCCCTCAGCCTGGGAGCTGGACCTTTGTCTACCACCCTTTCTTTGGATCTTTTATCCTACCATCCCCTAATTTGGGTTGATCTCATTGGTGTTTTGATTGCCTGTCTCTCTGCTTGGAATTGATCTGTATTCCTCATTTCCCAGGCTCTGCTTGACCCCCTCGTAGGCCTGCTGTGCTCTGTTGCCACCCAAATCCAGAGGAAAAAGACATCTAAGTCCTCACTGCTGTTGTCTACCAGATAACTCTGTGACTTCAGGCAAGCAGCTGAACCCACCTTGGACTCAGTCTCTTTCTGTGACACCAGGGGTTATACTGGATCATCTCTAGGGTCTCCTAGAATTCGGAAACTCTAGGAACCAAGGAGCCTCTTCCTTGTCTGCCTCCACCCATCCATCTTTTAGCTGACTGTTTCAAGCTAATAATCATGAATGCAAAGTGCTGTGACGTACAGGTAAAACTCCATCCATTTCAAAAGAAAAACCTGTAAAGATAATAGCACTTTATTCTTATTTGAACCACATTGTATTGTTGGTTACAGAGTGTGAAGGTAGTATGTTCAGAGTCTTGTTTTATGTCTTTGTAGCTGTGTTGCCAGCATTTGAAGGTAACTCCTCCACATAAGCGGCAGGAAAATGGCCTTTTTTCCCATTCAAAGATCCAAACCACCATCCTTCTTCTTTTTTCTCGTGTATAATCACAATGTCACCTGTGAAAATACACAGACAAATGGGTCTCTGCAATATGAACACATGCCTCAGCCCGATTGATAAGAGTTTTAAGGAGGTTCTGCTTCAAGGAGTTACTTGGTAGTGTCATTTTCTGCACTTGATTCAGATGAAGCCAAATGTATCAAACACCTGTGTATAAAGCAGGCATAATCCAGAGGATACTAAAAAGAGTAAGATAATGAACAACTGAGATAAAATAATTGCTTAAAAACAGGATTGGCCAGGTGTGGTGGCTCACACCTGTAATCCCAGCACTTTGGAGGGCAAGGCAGGCAGATCACAAGGTCAGGAGTTCGAGACCAGCCTGACCAACATGGTGAAACCCCGTCTCTACTAAAAATACAAAAATTAGCTGGGTGTGGTGGCACACGCCTGTAGTCCCAGCCACCCAGGAGGCTGAGGCAGGAGAACCACTTGAACCCGGGAAGTGGAGGTTGCAGTGAGCCAAGATCACACCACTGTACTGCAGCCTGGGTGACACAGCGAGACTCTGTCTCAAAAAAAAAAAATCACCTTGGGTCATATATCCTTACGCTGCCTGGCTCACTTTCTATGTAGCTGATGGATTGTCACCAAAGTCTTTCTTGGTGTCCATACTTTGAGGGTTTCACATGCTGGTGTTTGATACTTTGGCACGTTGGCTGCTATAAGTATGTCTCACCAACAGTGTTTTCCTAAGATCAAGACAATGCCTCTGTATTATACCTGATTTCATAGTCCAAAAGCTTAACTCACAACTTTGCATAGAAATGTAACTCCCCGTTCAACAACTTAGCCAACTTTAATACAACATCAATTTGGAGACAATATTTTTTAAAGCAATGATTCAAATAAAGAGAATTCCATAGCAAATTGGACAAGAAACATGGCTCTTGTCATAAAAGTAGAAAGATCTGCCCCCTTCAGGATCCAAGAGCTTCTTTTTCTTTAGTGTCATTCTGAGGTGATTTTTCAGTCTTCCCTTCACTCTTACTCAGCAATTCTCTTTCTAAGACAAAGGAGACTATTAACTCCTTTTCTGTCTTTTCTTAGTCATAAATCGCTATTCTTAAAGGAGATCATTCTCAGTCTCTAAGTTCTGCCTTTAATGGGTTCTCTCAGGTCAGTAAATTGACATAATCTATTAACAAGAATTCCAACAAATGATTTCAAATTGTATTGCCAGCTTTCCTAAGCCTCCAATGTCGTGTTTCATTGAAAGAAACTACTTAGAATATAAAGTGTAAGCAGGCTTTGCAACCAGCAGAGAACTGAAAACAAGATAATCAATTTATTGTGAATGATATAACTCAAATGCAGCATCCATGGGTTTTAGGTGGCATCTGGGAAGTATGTCTTTTATTCACATAGGAAGAAAAGTAATTGCCTGGGGAGAGATGACTGGCAAATGCTGCAAAGGAAACACCCAATAAATAGCAAATGTGCGGTGTCCTTGTCGTTTGGCTACAAAATGTATCTTGATTTTCACGGCTCTGGGAGCCGTGTTCTTGTTTTGGATAATATACTTTCTCCCACAACGTTACTCTTTCTCACTAACCCTTCCGTTTCCAGATCTCTGTCTTAGCACTAACATCCAAACGTGGTTTCTAACTGGACACATAATGAAGGTTGAGGCTGGAGACTTTTTTCTTTAATAATGTTGTGGTTTATATTATAAAGCCACTATATAACACCTTTCCATGTTAAGTAAAACTCTGTGACACAAAGAAGGGGGTCTTACTCTTTAGACTGGACATAAAAAGCTTTTCTGAGAAGTGAGACCAGCACTAAGCTGGGAGTCAGCTGACCCAGGTGCTAGAATTTGCACTTTCACTAAGTTGAGAGAGGAAGTCACTTCACATTCCTGCATGTCTAGCTTCTAAAAAATAAAAAGGTAGGGGCCGGGCGCGGTGGCTCAAGCCTGTAATCCCAGCACTTTGGGAGGCCGAGGCGGGCGGATCACAAGGTCAGGAGATCGAGACCACAGTGAAACCCCGTCTCTACTAAAAATACAAAAAATTAGCCGGGCGCGGTGGCGGGCGCCTGTAGTCCCAGCTACTCAGGAGGCTGAGGCAGGAGAATGGCGGGAACCCGGGAGGCGGAGCTTGCAGTGAGCCGAGATCGCGCCACTGCACTCCAGCCTGGGCAACAGCGTGAGACTCCGTCTCAAAAAAAAATAAATAAATAAAAATAAAAATAAAAAGGTGGGGTACACCTTTAATCACTTTCCATTACTGACATTCTACCCCAGTGTGCATTGTGATTAGGAGTATGGCTGTGTTTCCAAGTTCAAATCCTGCGCTGCCACAGCCTGTGGCATTAGCCAAAGCACCTAACCTTTCTGTGTGTCAGTCTCCTCTGCTATGAAATGGGAATAACCAATAAAACCCTCCAAGGGTTTCATTAATATTAAATTGGACAATATGCCTGCAACAATGTCTGGCACATAGAAAACAGAATAAGTGTTAGCTATTATCATTATGCGAGCTTTTGTTTTATATGTGCTTATCTTTCAAGAAGGGTGAACTGATTTGACATGGTAGTAACTCTTAAGGCTGCCACACTAAGACAGGGTTTTATTCATGCTAAGAATCTCAATATGGGAAGGCAATTAAAATATTTGAGAATGATTCTTACCCTTTTCCAAATTCAACTCATCATCTTGCCTGGCTTGAAAAGAATATAAGGCCTTGCAAAGTCTGCTGCTGAGCTGGGCTGCACCAGGGACTGAAATAGATTAAGCTGTAATTACTATGCTGTGTTAGCAGGCAAATGAATATGAGCTGAAGCTCTTTGGTTATTTAACAGTGTGGTGCAGAGTTTCAATATATTAAATTTTTCTCAAAAGGAAAGTTTGTAATTTTACATAATTTCATTCCTTGATTCAAAAACCATTTATGATGCACTTTCTATATGTATGGACTGCATATGTTATATAATCAAAAACTATATTATAATACATGAAATAGTAAGTCTAGAGAAAAACATTGCATGCATGTTTTAGAAAACATTCACCAGTTTTGCCATTCAGATATAAATAGGGGATATTTGGGGCATGTGCATGTTATCATCCCTAGCTGTGTATGGAACTGTTTCTCAAACAATGCAGCGGTGACTCCTTAATACATCGTGTGAACCATAATGTCCTGGTTTTACTGAAGTTCTTTTTTTTTAACCAATTTCTAATTTAAAAAACTAGATAGTCAAGATTATGGTAATTATACTTGAACATGCAGGGACAGTGACATGTGTGTGTATGCTGAAAGATGAAGAGCAGTGTGGTGTGTGGGTGCACGAATGACTGAAGTCAGATGACTGCTAATGGGGCTTTGTAGGCCATGAGTCCAAGCCCTGGCAAACCACCTGGATCACTATGTGTCTCGCAGAGAGGACAGGCTTCTTATGGGAGTTTGGAGGAGGCTATGGAGACAGAGTGACAAAGCTCCTCACAATGGTTTAAGTGTGATTATGTGGATGGCAAATAACAGGCCATTTGAATAAGGTGGATGCCAGCCATCTGATATCTGAGGCAACTTCTCATATTATAAAATACTTTCCCAACCCTCTACTCTTCTTAACTTCTCCCATTTTTACATAAAGCTACAGAGTCTAACAAATTAATCAGTCCCGATGGAAATATAAATTTCCTTAAACAGATACAGGTCAAAGTGGCTCTGAAAATAAAGTTTAAATGTAGCAATGTGCCCTGCCAGTAGGACCCAGGCCAAAAAGATTGTGGGCATGGGATTACCTGGAGTTGAAGAACTTGGATTGCTCTGCCCACCAGAAGATGCTTTGCTCACAATACTCTCTAATCTCTTCATTAAAAAAGGCCGAGATATTTTCACATAGCTATGAGTATGCTCCTGTTCAAATGGTATAAAAAGTCATATTTTATAACACAATTATCATAAACATTCATGAAAATTAACTCTTCTGTAGCTGCTTTCCTCAAGATTTTTTTTTTTTTTTTTTTAGACAGAGTCTTGCCCTGTCACCCAGGCTGGAGTGCAGTGGCATGATCTCAGCTCACTACAACCTCCACCACCTGGGTTCAAGTGATTCTCCTGCCTCAGCCTCCCTGGTAGCTGGGATTACAGGTACCCACCACCATGCCTGACTAATTTTTGTATTTTTAATAGAGACAGGTTTCACCATGTCAGCCAGGCTGGTCTGGAACTCCTGACCTCAGGTGATCTGCCTACCTCGGCCTCCTAAAGTGCTGGGATTATAGGCATGAGCCACTGCGCCTGGACTGGAAGTTTTTAAACTGAGGGGTATAAATAATTCAATAGATTTCTAAGCCCTACTGTGTTTCAGTTTTGAGTTGAAGCCTTAATATTTTCAAAATTAAATAATTACTGTACTTTATAGCCTGTGTTTCCAATTCTAACCTGTGTGTCTAGGCCAAATAGTAACATTCATAACATTACTTTTACAAATACAACTTTAGTTGGCTTAATGCAAGTGAAATGATCACAACCCTCTAAATGACTGAGATTGTTTTTGAGCTCTTGAGCCTCTTAGAAAACCGTCCCTTCACAAGATGATTACGGCTCCCCCTTCTGATCAGTAACCACAAGCAATAGCTGCCATGTACGTTCACCTGCTCATCCACTCCTGGAGTGCAGCACTAGGAAAATAGGTGTATGTGAATTTCAGAGCTGTACTGGTGCATTATCTGCATTAGGCACCATGTTAAACAGATGAGACTAATACAATTTAATAGAAATTTTACTGTAAAACACATCCAAAGGATAAAATTCAGGTATGATGAGCCAGAAGACATTGAAAGTGTTTTTTAGCTCCTCATAGAAGTTTGGTGTACACAGAGTGTATTCGGTTGTGTCTAGCTCTTGTTGTGCTCAAAAGAAATAAAAACATTTATCTTATTAAGTGTATGAATATTAATATCACATAGAATTCCTAATATCTTTTTTGCCCTGATGCTACTTTAAGCCATTCCACCCAGCAGGCCCAATCAAGAACTTACAACCAGTCTCCTTGAATGTTACCTTTTCCCTCCACCTGAAGATGGAGTTACTGCAAGGATGGCTGGGTTGAGGTCTTTGCTCAAGTTCTGCTAACACTGATGACAGTTTGTAGGAGTTTGCTTCCAAAAGGTCTAGTTTCAAATTGTTCTGTGGATACATCATTTGGCCGTGTGAGCAAATTTCTAGTAAATGAGGCACAACTGTACAGGAATATCAGAATAACTTTCAAAATAACAAAGGTTAGAAAAGTACGAATTTAACTCATACAGATATTCATAGAAAATGCCGAAGGAAAAAAAAAATGGAATAAACTCTTTAAGCAGTCTAGAGGGTGGTTTTAGTTGTTGAGTGTGTCTCATTCTGTACTCTGGGGATAAACAGGAAACCTTGGTAATAGTATTTTATGGCAATGAAGAGCTTTGACTCAATTTTCTGCTGAGGGATGAGAAAGGGAGTGTTGATTGTAGAAGGTAGATTTTTGGTGGTCTGTGAAGAAAGTGAGCCATCAGTGCTCAATCTTGTGAACAGAATTGAGTTAACATCAATAGAATCAAATGAAATTGAATGTGAGGTTCGTTTGTTCTTTGAGAAGGTGAAGTCTTATATTACCCACAAAGTTTACAGGAATACTTCTGGAAACTGGGAACAATATTCTAGGGTATTTGAGTATAAAAATACTAAGTCAAACTAAAGATACATTCCTAGTCTCTGTCTGTTCTTGATTTGACCTTGAACTAGAAACTTTATAATTACCCTGTCAGGCTGGGTCCAGCCAAAGTGAATTAAATAACAGAATCTAAGCATTGGAAGGGTCCTGCTTATCCAGCCCCCTCATCACCATTATCCCTCTCTCCCCTACACCTCCAGCATGGGAATTCCTTAACCCTAATATCCCTGCCAGGGTGTCACAACCATGGACAGAAGACATCCAATTGATGGAGAAGGTCTCTAATTGTTGGAGGAATCCACTACATTGTGGTGCAGGCTTACCTAAGACAAAACTAAAAGCTCCCCCATGCCTGCTATTTAGACCTTCACTTGATAGTCTCATAGAGCACATCTAGTTCCTCTTGTATGTGGCCCTCTTTCTGGTATCTAAAGACAGTATTTAATCTAAGTGCCTCCAATTTTCTCAACAATTTCTCCTCTGACATTGCTTGTGAACATTCTTGATTCAAATATGGCACTTCAAGGACCAAGATACAGTGAAATAAGGAAGAATTTAAATAAAAGTTTCCTCATCCTAGAAACCTTCCCTGGGTGACACAAAATCTACCAGTATCACTAGTTTCTGTCTACCCAGATGCAGAGCATGTGTAATGAAATCATGCGGATATTTGGCAGTCATCACTTAAAGGTTCACAGTTGCTCCTTCACTGGATCATAAACACCAGAAGTTCCGGGGTCAGATCCTCTCCCTCCTTTTGTCCTCCACTGTATGCTTCAGGCAAGAGGACCCAGATGACCCTAATACACGTATGCTGGTAATGACAATGACAAAATTCTGTGCAAGGACAGCCAAAGGAATAAATGTATAACCCAATGGCATCATGAAATGCTTTTTATGACTTTATTTTGGCACATGTTATTTGCATTGAATAGTTAACAGTTTGTGCGGTCACAGAAAATGTCCTACAGTCTGTTTTATAATTTCATAAAAATTGTAGCCACAGGTCACTGCAGGTATGTTAGACCTCTGTTCCCAAGTGCACACAATGCAGGCCTTTCTTTTCCTAAGAAGTGTCAGGCTTGTCTCTGCAACAGCACCCTACTCAAGAAAGCCTATCTTAACACTAGGTCAGCGATACCTCACTGCATCTGTCTTCTTTCACCAAAGAACTATTGAAATTGCCAATCTGGGTACAATTATCAGGTACCTACATTCACAAGAAAGTTAGGCTATAAGCAAGAAAAAGAAAACACCCAGATTCCTGTATCCTTCAAAACATTGCTAAAAAATTTATCTCCTTAAATGAGTCTCAGATTAACCCCAGTCCACTCCTGATCTCTAATCACAGCAGAAACCCATATGTTGCACACTGGTGCTATATATCTGTTCATTTTTATTCCTATGTAAAATTCATCAGCTTTTTGTTAACTACCCCTTTCATGTGGGTTCCTCTGAAGTGGCCAAAATGTCCATCAGTCCCCACGAATGTCTTTGGGGCTAGAGTTCACACGCTCAGCACAAAGGCCAGGAGGCCCACCTCCCTGCCTCTTCTACCATCTCCCCACCCCAATTCCCACCCTCAAAGAACTTCGCCTCCAAAGTTGCTCCTGGTTTCCCAAGATTTTGCCTCACACCCCAGACAGCCCTCTTCCCTCTGTGCAGCCTCGTCTTTCCTTTCTCCTGTTATTCTCCGATAACTGAGATCAGCAGAGGGATGAATGGAAAATACCGTCTTAATAAAAATTACTAGTTTTTGAGCTCCTCCTCTGAGCATTGTGCTAGCATTTACTAAATAATATTTCACCCTCATAAAAACCCCATGAGGTTAGTACCAATATCCCCATTTTGCAGATGAGAACACTAAAGTTGCCCCAGGTCCCTGTAAACAGCAGAGCTAAATCTAAATACAGGCCTTTCTGAATGCAGATCCTGTATTTCCTGTCACTTTTCTTAACTGGGTTAAAGTGCACATGTTTTCTAGGCCCTTAAAGAATGACTGTTTTAGAGAATACTATTTTAGACACACTTCCTAGGACACCAAAGCAAACATTTCTAGGTAGTTGGATTTTTCCAGATCCCTCAAATGACTTATGAAGCTGACCTTATAAGCTCTCCCACTAGATTGTTCTATGTCATGAGAAAGGAAAGGCAAACAAGGCCAAGCGGACCAGAAACAAGTATTCTAAAAATAACCCTTTCATCACTAAATCTAGGAAACTGCACTCTGCAAACATTTACCTCATCCATTAACGCTGCTGTGTCTTTCTGGCTCTTTGCATCAGAGAAGGAGGAGTTGCTGGAGTATGTTTTAAGCATTCGTTCCAGGCCTGAAAATGAAATAATGTTCTCAGTCACCTTTCACACTGTCTCAGTGGGACACAGCTGGGAGTCAGTCACTCTCAAAGGAAGCCTAGGAGTGATACCAGTGATTTTTTTTTTTTTTTTTTTAAGACGGAGTCTTGCTCTGTCACCCAAGCTAGAGTGCAGTGGCATGATCTTGGCTCACTGCAACCTCTGCCTCCCAGGTTCAAGCAGTTCTCCTCCCTCAGCCTCTTGAGTAGCTGGAATTACAGGTGTGTGCCATCATGTCCAGCTAATTTTTGTACTTTTAGTAGAGACACAGTTTCATCATGTTGGCCAAGCTGGTCTCCAACACCTGACCTTGTGATCCACGCGCCTTGGCTTCCCAAAGTGTTAGGATTATAGGCATGAGCCACAGCACCCAGCCACCAGTAGGATTTCTTAAATGGCTGAGGGAGTCTCTGCAGGTAGTTCTTAATAAATCTGTCTGAATGATAAATGAACTGTTCGTTTACCTTTCTCTTCACTTAATGAAATTTGAGAAATGCTGGTGCTTAAAGCATCTTGATTGTTATGTTTCCAGATGAGACTTTGAATTTCTTTCAGTTGACCCATTCTAGCGATTGCTAACATTTACACAATGTTGGCTTCTTCCGCATTAGTATTCACATCACTAAATATTTTCTATCTTGAATTTGCTCTCTAGTATTCCATTGCAATGAGTTATTGTGATCCATATAAAACAAGCTACTGTGTAGACATCAGATCCACGAATGTGGAGTCATTTTTGTCATCCATGTTGCTTTAGAGCTGCTTCACATTCTAATATGCCTAACTTCTACCTACAGAATTTAATTTGAATGATTTTTACATTGTTTCAAAAGTCAAAAGAAACAAACCAAAAAAATCCTCCAAAACTCTTGTGCACAGCTGGTTTACCATGTTCTAAACCAAACATTATTTCTCATTCTAGCCAATTTCAGAAACACAGTTAAAATGCTACATTTCTGAAAATAGTAGTATAATACTTATATAGGTTTCATAAATAGACCAAAATGTGATTTTCCTTTTTTTTTTTTTTTGGCTTTCTTCTTCTTTTTTTTTTATTCACACAATTTAAGTTTGATATATGGTTCTTTAAATGAGATGACCCCTGCCAAATAGCAAAAGCAGATTAATCCTAACTCCGAATGAAACCTCTGAGCATAATATGGTCCTTTTTCTGGCCATTCAAAGAGATGGTTACACACCTTCCTTGTCTTTTGAGGCTTTTTCAATGTCTCTCTGCAGTCTCAATAATTTTGGTTTTATTAAAGACTTTCGTCTCTCTTTATCCATTGCACTGTTAGGATCTTCTTCCTTTAGGAAAAAAGAAGGATGTCTAACAAGGGGAAGAAGTAAGAGTTGCTATTCCCTGTCCATACTGAGACTTCCACTGGCTGCATTTAATTTTAACTTTACAAAAAAAAAAAAAAATTTAAGCAGGATAATCTTCAGTTTTGCATACATCGTTCTACCTGTTCTAGACCTGATGAATAAGAAAATACCTCCTTGTTCACAACTTGTAAGTCACATGGCCGAGCACTTTTTAATACAGCAAATTATTCTTTGAGGATGGACCCTTGCTACAGTTATTTCATTTTCTTGATAAATCTATTTGTTGTATACTTACTGCTTCCTTATTTACCTTTGTTCAAGTTAGAGTCCTTTAATGGCCCAAATGTAATATCATGTATGTGCTTTGGGCTATGACTGCCTCAGGAGTGGAAGACATTTTGACTGAGTTCTGTGTTGGCTCAGTACTGGGAAGATGTGAGCTAAAACACATATGTTCTGCCCAGAATGGGTTTATGATTTAGTTAGGCCTTGAAGCATGACATGAAAGAAACTAGCAATACAAGACCACATGCATTCACGAATGGTACAGACACCACAAGTGGAGGCAGCTGACGGCTTCAAGGAGGCAAGAAGATATTAACTGTCTAGTCAAGGAAAGATGGCAAAGGGCACTCCAGACAGGAGAAATGGTGGGAGCAAAGGGCTGAGGGAGGACTGTGGGAAATGTGTCAGGAACAATAAGGACACCTGTTGCATGAGCAAAAAATAATGGAAGAAAAAATTGTTCAGGGAGTTAAAGCTAGATTTTAGGGCTGATGTAGGAATTTTATCACATAGGCTATGAGGAATCATTCATGATATCTGAGCTTTCACATGTATTATTTCAAGGATTGAATAAAAAAAAGGAATAGGATGGTAGGGTTGGAGTGAGGAGGTTGCTAAACATGAGTGTGGCAGAGGGACAGAAACCCATGGAGAAAGAGGGGAAACTAATGACTCAAGGTGGGAGGGGAGGATGCCGGCTTCTCTGACAAGGAAGGAGAAAAATTAGGATCCCGGCTGAGAGATTACCTTTAGATGGAGCTTCACAAACAAGAAGTGTGAGGATTTAGAGCAAAGGGAATAGCCTCTATAAAAACATATACAGATAAAAATATTTTATTTACATATTTTGCATTGCACATTACAAAAGTTTCTTTATATTCTAGGCCAGGTGCGGTGGTTCCCACCTGTAATCCCAGCACTTTGGGAGGCCAAGGTGGGTGGATTGCTTGAGGTCAGGAGTTCGAGACCAGCCTGGCCAACATGGTGAAACCCTGTGTCTACTAAAAATACAAAAAATTAGCTGGGTGTGGTGGTGTGCACCTGTAATCACAGCTACTTGGGAGGCTGGGGCCGGAGAATCACTTGAACCCAGGAAGCAAAGGTTGCAGTGAGCTGACATTGTGCCACTGCACTCCAACCTGGGCCACAGAGCGAGACTCCATCTCAAAATAATTAAATAAATAAATAAAAGTTTCTTTATATTATTTATTATATGCAACTCCTACAACTCAGTGGTTGGTTTTATTTTCCTCATTTTACCCGTGACACAGATAAATAAAAGAAGGCCCAAGCTGACCCCAAATTCTCTACCACCCTTTCACATGTCAGCCTACAGCTGAGGTGCAAGCTGACATCACACCCCCTAGTAAACTCTGACTGAACTGCTAAGATGCCTAACTAAAACCATTAGTCCTTCCCTGTTGAAGGAATGTTAGTCATCACATAGCTCCCGTACCAGTCAAAGGCTTCTCTTGGTTTGTTTGGGGACATCTTTTGCTTAAACATGTATTTCCAGGTATAGATTGTTCCTGGGTCAGTTTCAGGATGGGGTATATTGCCATCATTCAACTCTCACATTTGTCCTTCTCTTCTAAAGATTTGTTAGGAAGAAGGTCAGTACTGGAGGAGGCATATAAAATTACAGATACCATCTTTTGAACGGCATTTATGATAACCTTACAAGTATTTTCACCAGGTCACCAGCCCTCCAAGTGTTGCACTCAGATTGGTCTCTTTGTTGTCCCTGGTCCATGTAAATTTCGTAACACTGGATAAAAACCAACCTACACTTACAATGACTATAAAGTCAGACACGGGGGTACTTTGCCTTAAAGATGTCAAGAAAATACTATTCACTCATTTTGAGACACAGTCCTTTCTCTTGGACGACAGATACATGGTTGTGAGTTCTGACACAGTGAAGTTTTATAGAAACCAAAAATTTCCCTGAACATGCCAATAAATGAGAAGTCATCATGGCTGCCTCCTTACACTTTGGTAGAACCCTAGTCAAATTTTCAAGGAGAATAATCTTCATTTTACTGACAAGTTATTTGATAGGGGCATTTTTATTATTCTTTGGAAGAAAATAGTAGATTTATTTTATTGTACATTTTTCCATCTCAGGCCCTGCCTACATTATTTGGAAGAAAAAAAGAGCTTTCCCCATTGTAATCAAATCATTTCCACTTCCATTTCTACCTTGTTTCTGCATTGAACAGACATTGATATTGCTAATATATTTCTCCTTTGCCAGGGTAGGAAAAAAAAGACTCAATAAAAAGTAGCTGGTCATTTGCTGCTCTCTGAAGGGTAGGGAAAGGGAAAGCCAGTCAGGATTTACTGCTGTGCCTGATCTAACCGCCTCTCCCTTCTACCCTCATCTCTTGTTGCCTGATCAGAGGTCTAGGAAGGTCAGCTTTGGCTGTACTTCTAACCCTATGGAGAACATAATCAGTGGGCTTGTTCTCCGTATCAGAGAAGAGTGACACCCCTAATCTGGAGCTTGAAATCCTGAATAAAATATGGCAGAGGACCCAGGGAAACACTATCAGGAATTCTTTCTGCAGATTTTGGTAATTAATAATCAGTTCCTAGAACACTACAATTAAGAATATCAAGAGGGGAGCAGAGGCCAAAATCTTTGAGGCTTGACCCAGAAGAACAAATAATTTGCCCAAGATAGCAAAGAGGCAACATGCTTAGGCTCTCACCAGGGACACTGACCAGTTTTCAGCCAAAACACCCACAGTAGAATCACTCAAATGCCCTCAAAATAAGCCTCCGGTTATCTGGTCCAAGGTTTTCAAGGGAAGGGACCATGAAAAATACTGACAGTGACTCCCACTTCCTAGAACCCATGCCTTTGGGTGATCTCCCCTCACACCCACCTTTGAGTATGGGCTGCACTTAGTGACTTGCTTCTAACAAATAGAATATGATGAGATGTCACTTCTGAGATTAGCTCACGAAAGATTATAATTTATTGGGCACTCTGGCTCTATCTTGATCACTTATTCTGCGGGGAGCAGGCTGAGACATGGAGAGACCCATGTGGCAAGAAAATGGTATCTCCAACCAACAGCAGTGAGGACCGGAGGCCTGCCAACAGCCCTGTGAGTCAGCTTGGAAGTGAGTCTTCTGCAGGAAGAGCCTGGAGGTGTCTGCAGCCCAGCCTGACACCTTGATTGCAGCCTTGGGAGGGGCTCAGAGACACCTGGCTAAGACAACTGAATTCTTGACCCACAAACTATGAGATAATACATGTTTGTTTTAAGCCATTATTTTGGCAGGGGGAGGTGGTGGCGGGGGGTGGTGATTTGTCGCACAGCAATTTGTGCAGACAATGAATTTAAGCACCACGTGACATACAGTGATTAATTATAGGTCATTGAAACATATCTACCTGGCAATACTTTTATAGAAGACCGAATATGAAGATTCTGTTTAAAACCCTGCTTGACTTTCTTTCCTTCTAGAAAATACCAAAGACATGTTTCCATCGCCCAGTTTGTAAACTAGAACGCTGGGTGTTTTTATTTATATGGGCTATGAGAAATCATTTTCATTTATAAAACATGGTATTTGCTTTCAATTTTTTCCATATAAGTCCCTCAGTACCTAAGATTCTTCATTAATGTAACTTATTTTTTTCCATTTCATACTTACAAAGTAATCTGTTAACAGGAACTCAGATTTGTTTTCTGTAGATAAAATTGCAGTTTCTTCCATTACAGCCTGGATATCTTTTTCAATGTCAATCTTGCTGATGGCACAGTGAATCTGCGTGTGGCACTGCAATGCCAAGGGGAGCAGAATAAGGTTGTCGAAGAAAGGTTTCTGCCCCTTCTTACCAGGCATACCAGAAATGGAGAGATCGTCTATACTCACTGTGGTCAGGGTTTGGCCAAAAAGAGAAATATGTTGGCTGTACTGGTTTAAGTTATTGCATAAAAGTTGAATTCTTTCCTTCTCCAGCTCCAGAATGCTCTGAAAAGAATGAAAATTGGGGTAAGATCAGCCAGTTGTTATGCAAAACGGAAGTCACTTATCAAATACTGACACACCTGAAGACAGACTGAGCAAAGTCTCATGTTTAGCCTCTTGACTATGTCATATCCAAACCACAGTGGAGGGAGATTTCCAGGAGAGAACTGTGTCTTGGTATCTTAAATCACTCCTTTAAGAGTGATTTAACTCACACACTTTCCCCAGGCTCTTTTGACCCAAAAGGGATATAGGCAGATGCTGTGGGTTACCTAAGTTTACAAGGAAGAGGGAGAAAGAAGAAATGGAAGCATTTGAGACACATCTATGAATTCTAGAGGAGAATGAAGCCCGGGAAAGCCCATATCCATGTCTTGGAAATGCATTGAGACACTCAATAGTTTTAGAATTGTTTATAGTACATTCCAGGCATTCTGTTAGTCTCTGCAGGGAAGAGAATGACAAGCCACAAATTCTCTGTATAAGGAGATTATTTGACAAGAGAATAATCCCAAAGTCTGACCAATTCATAATTCTACCTAAAATTAGGCCTGGGAGTCAGAGTCCACTGTTTGCAGGTAGGCACATAGCCTCTTTATTTTGTGTGAGATGATAGAAGTTTCATTATTAGACTTACAACTTTTAGGTAGGAAGGGTAAATAACAAAGTGAGAGGAATCACATTTGCCTTGTTAGCTATTAACATTTTAGAGGCCAGGCGCAGTGGCTCACGCCTGTAATCCCAGCACTTTAGGAGACCGAGGTGGGAGGATCACCTGAGGTCAGGAGTTTGAGACCAGCCCAGCCAACATGGTGAAACCTTATCTCTACTAAAAATACAAAAATTAGCCAGGTGTGGTGGCATGCGCCTATAATCCCAGCTACTCAGGAGGCTGAGGCAGGAGAATCGCTTGAACCCAGGAGGTGGAGGTTGCAGTGAGCCGAGATCACACCACCGCACTCCAGCCTGGGCGAGAAGAGTGAAACTCTGTCTCAAAAAAAATTAAATTAAATTAAAAAAAAAAAAAAATATATATATATATATATATATATACACACACACACACACACACATTTTAAAATGTTACTTATTAGATCCCTGCCAATTGAGTTGCTGACTGGTGGTTTTTAGAGAGGGCAGAAAGGTTTAACAACTAAGCATTGTTATAGAAGACCGGGTCAGGCAGAGTACCAAGGGAGATTCCAAGGCCATGTGGGGGCAGAATAAGGCTGCTGGGTATGTGCCCAGGGGAGTCTGGGTTTTAATGGCGATGGCAGGTGTCCAAGACAAAATTCTTCCCATCTTTTTGTGTGTGTGTGTGCATGTGTAAAAACAAGGCCTGGCTAGGCGCAGTAGCTCATGCCTGTAATCTCAGTACTTTGGGAGGCCGAGGCGGATGGACCACCCGAGGTCAGGAGTTCAAGGCCAGCCTGCCCAACATGGCGAAACCCCATCTCTACTAAAAATACAAAAATTAGCCATGTGTAGTGGCACGTGCCTGTCGTCCCAGCTACTCAGGAGGCTGAGGCAGGAGAATCCCTTGGACCTGAGAGGTGGAGGTTGCAGTGAGCTGAGATCATGCCATTGCACTCCAGCCTGGGCAACAAAGTGAGACTCCATCTCAAAAAAAAAAAAAAAAGAAAGAAAAGAAAGAGAAAAAACAAACAAGGCCTGGGCATTCATCCTTTTATCCAGAGAAGGCCAGCTCGGTTGCTCTCATAACCACCATCCCAACTCCTCCATCCCACAGAGATCACCAGCAATCATCTTTCATGAACAAGGCGTTAGGCAAATTGGTGGGTAACACGACCATAGGGAAGAAGAAAGATGGGTATGTCTCAAGGCCCTTGGCAGTGCAAGAGGTGAGAATGGAGAGTCACAAAGATCACTGGGTTCTCCTTGCTCACCTTTTGGCATTCCTACAGGAGCCCACTGGCCTGATCCAGTATGGTATTCTTCTATATCCCTGTGTTGTTAATTCATTTATGGTATATGGTGATTAAAATTATTTTAAATTTCTTTATACTTTTAATTATGGTAAAATTTACATAATATGACACGCCATTTTATCCACCTTAGGCATCTATTTCAGTGTCTTTAAGTGCATTCACATTATTGTGCAACCATCACCATAATTCATCTCTAGAACTTTTTTCATCTTGCAAAAGTAAACTGTACCCATGAAACAACTTATTTCCTACGCTCTGCCTACTCTGGCAACCACCATTCTACCTTCTGTCTCTATGAATTTAACTTCTCTTGGTACCTCTTACAAGAGGAATCATACACTACTTGTTCTTTTGCATCTGGCTATTTCACTTAGCATAATGTCTGCAAGATTCATCCATGTTGTAGGATGTGCCAGAATTCCCTTCCTTTTTGGCTGAATAATATTCCATGGTATGTATATACCACATTTTGATTTTTGGTATATAGTCATTTGAACACTGCTTGTAAATGAAAGTAGTAACGGGTTCAGGCAGTAACTATGAACATCTGTGCCAATCACATGCAACTTTAGATTTTGTACCAAGTGTCCTGACATTTGGATTGGAAGCCTGGAACCTTGCCCCCATGGCAGTCTTCTTAGTTGCCTCTGAAGCTGCCCAATTTTCATACATCAATGGGAGTCAAATGGATTTGTTTATGCTGGCAGTCCCCTGAGGCTTTCACAAAATTGGAGGCACCAGTCATTTGAATGTGGCTGTCTGCCCTTCTGCCTCCCAGACAAAGGATTAAAGACACAGAACAGCCTATCAAATGTTTTGCTTCTTAAAGGGCAGAATCGATATGCCTCATAAGAAATATGTAAAACAAATTCTGCTCAGTTGTTTGGATCTCCTATGTGACAATCTTCAAAAAGAAGTCCTTATCCTATAGAAAAAGATCTAGAAAGCAGCTCTTCTGTTTTAGCCTATGAGTAAAAGACAAGAGAAAATAAAAGCCACGTTTTAGAACATATTGCATCCCTAGTGGACAGGTGTTTCTTTACTTTGACAAGTGCTGAACCACTAGCATCGATCTGAGACTAGATAACCAGTGTCCCTTAGTGACATGGTAATGCTTAACAGATTTTAATTACATTTCAGGGAAATCATTAAAATGATCTATGTTTGTTCATAAAAAGAGGAGGAAATAAATTCCACTGTGCAAAGGAGAGATCCATAACTCATTTAATGATTTGTTGCTTTCTATTATCTTGTTCTTTTTACATAAAATAAGTGGTAGAGAAGCCAGATACTCTGGAGGACCTCAAACTGTCCTCTTGAAGTTCCACAATAGTACATATGAAGAAAGTGTGGTCAAGGAGTTATCCAGAAAGATTCAGATTTCAGCAGATTTAGAGCCTGTTTGGGACCCAAGCATCATGACAATTTATGTTCTTCATTCATTCCTTCCAGTTCTCACTGTCCTAGCCTTTGGGCTGGTACTACAGGAAGAGGTCAAAGGGATTTTGTTTTCATTTAAATGACTGTCATAGAACAGATAAAAGAAATATGCTCTTTCTAGAGCAGGAACTCTCAAACTTTAGAATACCTAGACCCCTCTTTATAATCATTCAGAGGCTCTGATTGATTTAGAGGCTCCCAGGTCTAGGGAAGCGCTCAGGAATCTGACTTTTAACAAGCACCCCAGGTGCTCTGAGACATTGTCCTAGGGCCACAAAGGCCCACAAAAAATACATTTTTAAAATCATAATTCTTCCACCCAGAGGTGACTGCTATTAACATATTGATATATTTCAGTCTAGGTATGTGTATATGTACGATTTTATCTTCCAGTTGTCTATCAAATTATTCAAATTTGAAATTCTGGTTTTTCCATTTAACCATACATGTGAACAGTTTCCCGTGTCATTAGTCTCTGAAAATACCACTTTAATTACTTCATAATCGTCCATTGTGCAGCCGTGTGGTGATTCATTCAGTCATCCCTTTAATGTTGGACATTTGCAATGTTTCCTGACTTTTACTTTTGTTTCAAATAGAAATCTGTGTCTGGTTTGTCAGCTATTTCCTCAAGACAGATTTAGAGAAAGGAAATTACCTTTTTCAACAGAGTCCTAGGAAAGAATGAAGCCCTACTGTCCTGAGGAGTCCATTGTATGTAACGAGTTGTTATTCCTCTCATCTAGAGTGGGACTACTCAAGTGCCATCCTTGGGAGAACTGAGAAAACAGCCACTCGAATCATTTTCTGTGTTCTGGGATTTAGAGGAGGAACACTGGTTGAGAAAGGGAATATTTTTAAGGCTCTTGACACATATCGCAAATGGCTTTTTAAAATACTTCCTTGAGTGAGTACTTCAGTCCCAAGCATTTGATTCTTTGTAATTCTTGGTAGTATGGCTATTATTGTGAAAAATATAGATTATTTCTATCATCTGAATTGTTTCTTCTTGGAGGGTAGGATGTGGCTAGAACATAGTATGATTGTGAAGTAATAAGACTAATTTTGACATGTGGTTTGTGGAATTGGTTTCATTACTTATGGTCACAGTTGAGGTTTTACAATATTTCTCACAGTATCTAGTACACTGCCTTGAATGTAGTTCAATGAATGTTCTCTGAAAGAATTTGTAAATCCACCATGTAGAGTAAAAAGAAAGAAGAGGACACTTTGTAGGACCCTAAAATGAATTCTTACATTCAATTTTTATAGAAGAATGGTGAAAGAATGGAGAAAAAATGAAACTGAGAGACCCTAACTGTCCCATTTCCATTGCTCACACTTATAATAAAATTTCTCTTTGAGTCAATTCAGGCTGTTTTTGTTATATGATTCATGAATCTAACATTTGACTCTTAAATGTCATAAACATATGCAAAATATGGCATTCATAGAGTAATATGTGAGTCAATGACCTGCTGGTATAGACTGAGTATACACAAGCCCAGGAAATACCAACTAAGGGCATCATTATTGAGGGTTCAAGTGAAGCAAGAGTGACTTGACAGAAGTCATCACACGTTTTGTCTAATGGGCTTGAGCTGGCTCTCAGGTGGCAGGAGAGAACTCAGAGGAAGGTGGGGTAAGAGAAGCTGTATGAACTAAAAAGGAGAAGGACTGAAACACTGGTGGCCTCCAGCATAGCGGTAGCAAAAATCCAGGATACAAGAGGGGAGAAAGAAAATGCTCTTCCTCAAGGACATTATGATGAGTAGATATTCCATGTGACTTGGATAAAAAAAGAAAAAAAAAGAAAGAAAGAAGGAAGGAAGGGAGGGAGGGAGGGAAGGAAGGAAGGAAGGAAGGAAGGAAGGAAGGAAAGAAGGAAGGAAGGAAGGAAGGAAGGAAACTAAACTAGGTCTTAAATATTTTGAGAGCTGAAGTTGAAAGATGCCTTTTGAAATGTAAATGAATGTATACCTTGTTACCGTCTGGAAGACTGTAAGAAAAGAGATAATTTCCATGATGCTTCAATATAAACTCTAAGAATGCTGAGAAGGGGGAGTAGTGGTTGGAGAGGAAAGATGTAGAGGATCTTATCAGGAGGAAAGGAAACTGAGTAGTAAGAGCTTCTGATAATGAAGATAATCATAGCCTTCCCTAACATATATTGAAGGCAAGCTAGTTATCAGCTACACCAGGTAGGACCCATTTATCTCCCATTGCTGCGATGTAGGTAGAAGGGTGAGGAGGATAGAGACACTGAGGTGAAATATCTTTCTCACAGCCCTTGAAGGGTGGGTGCCTGGAAGATGGAGTGGGAGCAGAAATGTCTCTCCCATCTCCTATCAGGGCCATCCAAGGAAGCTGTCCTCAGTGGAAAGACCACGGCTCCATCAGGAAGTGATGAGGTGAGGTGAGGCAAGGTCAGAGCCCAGGTTGCAGAGCCAGATTTCAAATGAATGAAGTTAGAATTTAAATCCCTGACCTTTTCTCATCACCTTCATCTAAAATCTATCTAGCATAAGCAAGGAGAGTACCAGAAGCTTATGTTTAAAGGTGTAAATTAAGGAATTTTTTCTCATTTGTTCCTATTTTTGACCCAAGTTTTCATCTCCTTTAATTTCCCCTTTCTTCTCTAATTCTGCATCTATCCTGCTCTGAGTGGTTGAATTGCAAGAGATGTAAATGCAGCCCTTGGGTTTCCGCCTGCCACATAGCCTTTGCTCTCCCAGTTTTCACTGGAGCAGGAGCATAGCACAGAGGTCCAGGCTGAATCTTGAAACCATCTCAGGCTCATTGCTTCATCTTTCCAGCCTCAATGTCCTCATAATGTCGTGATTAATACAAAACAGAAGCACATGAATGTGCTTAGCACAGCCTAAAAGAGGAGCACTGAGCACCAAGCACTTGTTCCATGCTAGCCATTAGATCATGGCTTTCTCCAATCATATCTGCTTTAAACACTTTTTTTTTTTAAATTTAAAACAGGTGGGGAAAAATAAAACCAAAATATGCATGTTCTTACTCTCCAGAATTGATAGTTATTTAATTTGGTCATATTCATGTTGAGCCTGGGGTTGCACTGCTTCACCAGGGGCCGTGCATAAGCTGTGTGGCTGTTTCTGGCAGTTCTGTTGTATTCCCCCATGGGCTCCATTTCTGCCACTGAATATATGGACAGTCTATATGTGTAAGTTTACAAACACACACATATAAACTCAGTATAGTTTCCACATGAGTTTAAAAGAATTTTAATTTACACAGATTGTGTAAGTGGTATGTTTCTTTTCTTCAACATCATGTTTGTTGAGGTTAACTCATGTTTAAATATAGTCTTAATTAACTTCATCGATGGATATTAGTTCGCTTTCCAAATGCGAGCATCTTTGAAGAGTAATTCTTCTCTTGATGGGTATGAAGATTGCATACAGAATTATAAACAATTCTGCAATAAACATTCTTGTGCATCACTCTTAGAATAAAAGTATACATTTTTCTGTAGGATATATGCCTAAAAACTGCTTTAGGGAACTGCTGTGTGGTAAGTACATGCTTATTTTAGTTTCACCAAATATCATTATTTATTCCCCCTACAGGGTACAGTAATTCTTGTTTCCTAACATCCTTACCAATACTTGATATTGTCAAGTTCTAATTTTTGCCAAATAATCTAGCATTGTTTCATAGGTTTATTGATTATTTTGATTTCTCCTTTTGTGATGTGCTTGCTGACATCTTTTGCCTATTGTTATCAGATAATTTGCCACAATTCCTTCTTTATGTGTCTACTTTTGCCACTGAGATGTACACATCTCAAGCATTGAGATGTTACTTTATTCAATGCTCTGTATCTCCAGTGCCTAACACAATGCCTGACCTCCATAAGCGATCACTGTGTGAGTCATCGCTCATGACTAAAACTAATTTCCAACCACCTAACACTTAATCCTTAATTTACACTTCACTTTGACAGCACTTTTTGAAGTTAGCTGGGTGCTATCCTGTTCACTAAGAATTAGGAACAGAAACTCTGGCCAATGAAATTCAAGAAATTGTCACTAGTAATTGTATCCATGGAGAAATTGAAACAATGAGAGGAAAGGTGGTTTGTCTAGAGTCACAATATGTGTGATGCTCATAGCTATGACAGAGGGCAGGTCTTGTCACTGTAGATCTGACCTCCATCTTCAAGGTCACACAAAACTCCACAGAAGAAGAAAAAAATGTGAATATATAACTTACCTGGTAGCAGTTCTCTAGTGTGTTTTCCCATTTCAGTCTGGTAGAATAACCCACCATGTTTTTTTGGTAGTAATTTTCATCTTCCTTTTCCAACTTCTCAGTTGATTTTGTCAGTTTATTGAGGAGCTAATGTAAAACATCAATGTCACACACTCACTAACACATTTTAGAAAGCCCTTTATAATTCCATAGAAAAAATTGTATGTGGCTCAATATGTTTCTCACCTCTCACGTACAGTCATAAACAGTGACTATAGCTGACAAAACCAAAGATCTTTATGAGAAAAAAATGCATGGCCAAACCTGAAGGAAACCCAAGGGCCTTCCAGTATGGTTCCCCCAATCTTACACATTGATGGGCTTGAGACCCTTACATAGGAAGTGATTTGTCTACACTCACACAATCACAGAGAAGGTCAAACAACACAGCTTTTGAGAATTGACAGTACAGGTCAAGACTGCAATTGGCCAATGAATCCCATAGTCTTATCTGGTAAATCCTTCAGGCTCCTGCATTTCTTACCAGGTTAGGTATAGACTTGTGGAATCACACAATTTTTAGAACTAATTTTTAGAATGAGTCTGGCTACTGTTCTATCTAGCAATATTATTTTACTTTTACTATATAAACCCAGAAGTAGGGGTTTGGAATCAAACTTCCAGGATAAGAGTCCTGGTCCTAGCTGCAAACAAGTTACTTAACCTTCCTGAGCCACAGTTTTCTCATACTGGGTTGCTTTGAGAATTCGGGCACATCTTGGGACTCAGAAAACAATACCACAAAAATGAAGGTCTCAGAAGCAGCCTCAGAAGTAAAAGTTTCTCTCTGACCTTCTGTCCTCCTATCTCTCACTCCCGTTCTCCCCGGAGGCTATTGGTAGAAACCAGAATCCCTCTTCTCCAAGGAAGCTCACAGAAACCAGAACCCCTTTTCTCCAAAGCCAGCCATAAAAATCTAAAAATATTACTCCCACTTTTCCACCGCCTTTCTGTGTAAAAACTGGCCATAAAGAAATTATCTGACTTACTTGGTTTGACTGTAGGTCACAAGACCCCTATTCCAGAGAGGGTCCTGCCCCATCCCCAGCAGGAAGGAAGGCTGCACAGAGAGGCCAAGAAGAGTCTAGAAAGAGGGCCTTACTGGGTTTTCCCATGCAGCCTATTAGCATTAGATTGCACCCCTTTTGTACATAATATTTCTACATTTTGTTAAACCTAAGCATAAACATAGACAAGTTCCCCTGTATCTTTGCATCTTTTTTCTGAAGGCTCCCATGTCACATAAAACTATGATCAAATACATCAGTATGCCTTTTCTCCTATTCATCTGCCTCTTGTCAGTGATTTTTAGCCTAACATCACAGGGCAAAAGGGAAGATTTCCCTTGGCTCTGACATAGGTAACACAGATGAGGCAGATGGCACCCTGCCCAACACCTGGCATAGCACTCAAAATTTAGCCAGTATAATTATTGCCAGTGAAAAGCCTGAGATACATGCCCAGTGTTCACTGCAAGTTATGGACAGCTTGATAGATGGTTTCCTCTCATACTGCTACCCAATGATCTGCTCCCTTACAAAGAGCCCCCTCTTGCCTATCACCAAAATTTGTCATTCTCATTACTAAATCTTCTGGAAAATCAGTGTACAGTAATACAAAACTCCCTGGGCCAGGGTAGCTGAAACTGATTCTTAAAATACCCAGACAAGTAATTTCATGTTTCTGAGAAACAAAGAAGTTGGATTGCATGAATCATTCTCCAACTTTATAGATATATTTTTGAAGCATTCAATATCTTTCTTTTCCCTTTTTCTTTTTCTTTTTTTTTTGGAGACAGGGTCTGGCTCTGTCACCCAGGCTGGAGTTCAGTGGTATAATCATGGCTCACTGGCTCACTGCAACCTCCCTGTCCTGGGTTCAAGCAATGCTCCCATCTCAGCCTCCCAAGTAGCTGGGACCACAGGCATGCACCACCACACCTGGCTAAGTTTTGTATTTTTTTGCAGTGGTGGGGTTTCACCATGTTGCCCAGTCTGGTCTCCAACTCCTCTGCTCAAGCAATCTGTCTACCTCAGCCTCCCAAAGTTTTAGGATTATGAGTGTGGGCCATCGCACCCAGCCAATTCTCCAATTTTACTCTATTTAGAAATGACCTGAAATGCTTGTAAAAATTGCAAATTCCAGAATTCTACAAACAGCAATACTTATTTCATACATCTGTAGGGGGATTAGAAAATCTGAATTTTGACTATATCTCCTCTCATGGTTCTGATGCAAATGGTCTTCAAACCATTCTTTAAAAAACATCAGGCCGGGCGCGGTGGCTCAAGCTTGTAATCCCAGCACTTTGGGAGGCCAAAACGGGCGGATCACGAGGTCAGGAGATCGAGACCATCCTGGCTAACACGGTGAAACCCCGTCTCTACTAAAAATACAAAAATTAGCCGGGCATGGTGGCGGGCACCTGTAGTCCCAGCTACTCGGGAGGCTGAGGCAGGAGAATGGCGTGAACCCGGGAGGTGGAGCTTGCAGTGAGCTGAGATCCGGCCACTGCACTCCAGCCTGGGCGACAGAGCGAGACTCCGTCAAAAAAAAAAAAAATAACAAACATCAAAGACCTCCCTGATTTAGTAGTTTAGGAGTTTCAAGGACAGAGACAAAGGCTGTTAAAATGGACCCTCTCTATTTAAGGATATGTTGACTAACCTTACAATCATGAAAAACATTCATCCAAAATGTTGAATATTAATACTGCTCACTTTTTTTATTCCAATTGATATGTGGGCTATACAGCTGTCCCCCAGCTCTGATGTATGACCTACACAAGACGTATCTGGTTTTGTATCAAGTTGAATGAACCACATCTGTCTGTAGAAATGCAAGCTTGTGAACATTAACCTAGCAACAGTTCAATGCAAGGACTCAGAGAGTCATCATTATACTCTGCTAAATCACTGTCCTCAGATTCTTACTGAGAATGCTCAGCACTCCAGGAATGAAACTGAGTTGCTTTTGAGATCACCATTAATATTCATCAGCCTGTACTATAGAGTTGTGGACTAGAATTTTCTGCTCAGCAAATTTATAGCAGGTAGTTCCAAGTATATTTATGAAAGAAGAATGTATACTCATATATATATATATATATATATATATATATATATATATATTTTTTTTTTTTTTTTTTTTTTTTTTTTTAAGATGGAGTCTCACTCGGTTGGCCAGGCTGGAGTGCAGTGGTGCGATCTCAGCTCACTACAACCTCCACCTCCCAGGTTCAAGCGATTCACCTGCCTCAGCCTCCCGAGTAGCTGGGATTACAGGCATGTGCCACCATGCCCAGGGTTTCACCATCTTGGCCAGGCTGGTCTTGAATTCCTGACCTCAGATAATCTGCCCACCTCAGCCTCCCAAAGTGCTGGCATTATAGGCCTGAGCCACTGTGCCCAGCTGTAGACTCCTGTATTCTTACCTAAGGAACTGCTCAGAAACCTTTACTAAAATTTGTCAAAGATTGACTTCTTTTCCTTTCCTTCCTTTTTTTTGCTCTTGGAACAAACATCACATTCATTTGTTCACCAGACATTGAGGGCCTTCTATGTGTCATGTGCAAGGCTTTGAGAATAGAAAATGGAACAAGACAGGCTCCCTCTCTAGTCAGGGACCCACAGACCAATTACCATCTTGTGTGCTGATAGAATTGTATAGGTACCACTGGGAAGGACATCAAGAGAGGCATCTAAACTAGCCTTGAAATTAAAATGACATTTCAGCTATAACTTGGCGCATAGTAGGTGCTCAAAAAATTGATCTCCATATGAATAAAACTAAAATGAAAGTAGGAGTTGGTAAGGCAAAATAGCATGGCAGGATACAGAAAAATATTTTTTGGTGAAGTTGGATCACACAGTTTACGATGGGGAATGGGGAGAGGTGATGTTGAAGAGATTGGCAAGGTTCAAGTCAGGAAGGGTCTTACAGGCCACGTGAAAGAGTTTTTCCTGGCTGAGTGCGGTGGTTCACGCCTGTAATCCCAGCACTCTGGGAGGCCAAGGTGGGCAGATCACTTGCGGTCAGGAGTTTGAGAACAGCCTGGCCAACATGGCAAAACCCCATCTCTACTAAAAATACAAAAATTAGCCAGATATGATGGTGCATGCCTGTACTCCCAGCTATTTGGGAGGCTGAGGCAGGAGGATTGCTTGAAACTGGAAGGTGGAGGTGGCAGTGAGCCAAGATTGTGCCACTGAAGTATCTGGTTTGAGTTAGAATTGGGACGATATGGTGGGTGATGATATTCAAAGACACAGAAAACACAGAAATAAAGATTATCTTTGGTAGAAAGAAGTGGTGGTTGGAGTTTTAGATATTGAGTTTGAGGTGTCAGAAAGCAGTTTACAGACTGGTTTGGGCTAGAGATACAAATTTGGGTATTGCCAGCATAGATACTGTAGTTGAAGTCTTGAGAATATACTTAGTGAGTATGTATTATTTATTGAGTACCTGATATCAAGAGTACTGTATCAGACACTGGAGAGACAATGGTGAAGAGAACAGAGTGAGGCCCAGAAGAGAAATCTTCAGAAACTGCAATATATAAAGATCAGGCCAAAAAAGGCAGCCCATAAAGAATCTAATTTCAAATTTACAGAAAGGAGGAGGAAAACAAAAGCATGAGTTGTTACTAAAGTCAAAAGAGGAGAATATTTCTACAAAGGGGAAGTAAACAATGCTTAATACTTCCGAGAAGTGAACTAAGGTAAGACTTGGAAAGTACCTGTTAGCTTTAGCAATGAGAAGACATTGTTTTCAATGGCAAGAACACTCTTAGTGGAAAGATGGGGAAAGCTTGATTAGGGTGATTTGAAGAGCGAACAGAAGATGAGGAAGTGGAGATAGAGCAGACACCCCTTTCACTAAGATGTATTGTAGAAAGGAGACACGACAATATCTGGAGAGGAACAGAAGACCCCATAAATAAGTGTCCCTGCAACTTTCTTTACTCTTGTAAGATGGGGAGAAGGTGCAATAGACTATTTGTGCCTTCCCACCAAATTAGGTCAGGAGGGTTCCACCTACACTTCCAGAATGTCTGTTGTTGAAGCCACCCCCATCTATGGAACTTGGTTATAGCAGCCTGAACAGACTATAAGACAGGGAGAGTTATAGAAGCCTGGTGGGGAGGAATCATTAGGGAGAGGGCTATCCAAGATATGGGAAATATGGGATAATCAAGAGAGGGCCTCTGGGAGGCAGGATGGGATGAGATTAGAGCACAGGACGGAGAACTGGCCTCTCCATTGCAGATATGTAAATGCTATTACTTCAGTAGGCAGGTGGCTGTGCTGACTTCTATTTACTCTGTGAGGTAGGAGGCAAGATACTGTGCCAGGAGTGCGTGGATGGAGGTGTGAGGAGAACGGAGGTTTAGATCAGCTTCTGGTGAGAGAATCAAGACTCCTGGGCAGGAAACAAGGAAGAATTTGCTGAGCAGCACAGAGCACCAGCTCAGGTGATCATGAGCGCTTCTGTGTGAGATGAGAAAATGAATGCCTCCCTCTTGGGTGTTCAGCTTCAGGATTAACAAAAGCTGCCCGATTAAGCAGGGAAGATGGCATGGGTGTGTGACAGAGTAACAACCAAGGTTATGGTTACCAACTGGACGAAGGGAGAGAGCACTGTGGACCTTTACTTCCCAGGGAAGCTGCTGATGAGGGTAGGAAGAGGAAATTCACCACTTAGCTGCCATGCTTTTTTCTTTATTATTGCATGACATCAATAAAGAATAGCTTCTAATGAGCACTCAGAATGCCTAGGCAGGTCCTGGCACTGAGTATTTTAACAGACTGTGGGTTCGCCTCCTCGGAAGCTGCCTCATTATTCAATACTTATTATGATCATTTCCAACTGTGAAGACTGACATGGAAAGAAATAAGACTCTTGTGAAATCTTGCTAACAATGAATTTAAGTTATTCAATGGATATTTCTTCAGATTAAAGAGCTACTTGCGATGACAATTTTCTCTTCCTTTTAAGGGGTTTGCAGTGGTGCTGGTTGCATTTCCTTAGTAAGGACTCATCTTTTGTAGAAGATATTGACTATGTCAAAGGTTTTCAATCTGGGGCACATACCACAAGAGGTGTGCAAGATAATCTATTGGGGTGTAAGCAGAAAATCTTTATTTTATTCCTGTACCCCAATATTATTTGTGTTCATTTTGCCTGAAAACTTAGTGGTCAAGCTTACTCTTACTTAATATATGAGTCTACACTGGTGCTCACACATGGACAGTCGTGGATTCTGATATGGCCTGGGGGGAGGGTGGGGATTCTGCAACCTGAAAAGCTGCCATAGGCCCTCACTGTGTTTTCCCTTCCAGCATCTGGGACATGTGCCCATTGACATATACCTGGGCCATGTAGTTTTACAGACATTATCTGGCTCCAGTTAGGTTAGCATAAACAAAATGCACAAATATCTTAGATTTCTGCCAAGAACCTGTAGATTGATGTTCCACTAACAATTTAATCACAAAGAATCCACAGCAAAATGTCCAAGCTGACGCTGCCACCTCTCCTGGTTGTGAGTGTGTTACTACCCACGTGAAAGGGCAAACAGTGAAATGAGATCTGACAAAAATTTTGATGAACAAATAAAAAATTATCGAGAAGGCTGGCCAGGGGTGGTGGCTCATGCCTATAATCCCAGCACTTTGAGAGGCTGAGGCAGATCACTTGAGGTCAGGAGCTCGAGACCAGCCTGGCCAACAGGGTGACACCTTGTCTAAACTAAAAATGCAAAAAAAAAAAGAAAAAGAAAAAAAAATTAGCCAAGCCTGGTGGTGCACACCTATAGTCCCAGCTACTCCAGAGGTTGGGGTGGGACAATCTGTTGAAGCCTGGAGTCGGAGGATGCAGTGAGCCAAGACTGCACCACTGCACTCCAGCCTGGGCCACAGAGTGAGACTCTGACTCAAGAAAAAAAAAAAATTATCAAGAAGACTATTAGAAATATGCATTTAAATTTACTATGGTTAAGGCTGAACCTTGCTCCAAGTATATATTTTTCCTGAAAACATTACTTAATGATTATCTAAAGACATCATGGTTGCTAATCATTTCAAATATTATTTCATCTTTCTCTCATCCTGGAAACATTTCTACTTTTATGCTTCATAATGTTCATAACATATTAACATAATACATAAAGTACTATATGTAACAAACAACATATATAAAGTATTTTTTAACTTATTTGGGGTATTAGCTGAGAGGTTTTTTTAAGATAATGTTAATAGAGTTTCCTTTCAAAAAATTGGGCATCATTGGTCTCATTTGTCATCTGTCAATAATATTTTTAAAGAATACATGTGGTCCAGGCAAAGTAGCATGCTTCTGTAGTCCCAGCTACTTGAGAGGCTGAGGTGGGAGGATCCCTTGAACCTAGGACTTTGATGCCAGCCTGGGCAGCACAGTGAGATCCCTTCTATTTAAAAAAATTAAAATAAAGTTTAAAATGTGTGTGTGTGTTGTGTGTGTGTGTGCGCGTGCGCACAAGGAATGATTTGGAATCCCCTTTTATGCTCTGTCAAGCTACATCTCTGCAGGGATCCCACAGAGAAAGAAGAATCAACCCATTCTCTTGTGTTTGTAGCTAAGGGCAGCAAGCCCATCCGTCTATGGCGCATGCACTCAGCCAGCCATGACAGCTTACCTTCCGCCTCTCCTTCTCAGTCGTAGATTGCTTGGAGCTTTCTACAAGCTGGAAAAGTGCTTCATGTTTCTTGGTACTAACCATTAATTTCTTCTTGGCCTACAGTGAGAAACATACAAACAACAAAAAAAGGAGCAGAGGCTGATGCCAAGAGAAAACTCTTCTCTTTTGGAACAAAGCACATTCATGTGCTAGCTTTAACGATTATGTATCCTAGAATCCTCCAAAGGCTGAAACAAAAATGCGTACTCATTCCCATTCTCACTTCAAAATGTACCTAAAACATCAGAGCAGCTAACACTTTGTCCTGAGAACTCCTGCATATTTTTTCATTATATTGGGTACCCTCAAGAGGGTTTTGAATTTTGCTAAATCATCGAAGGCCTGCAAACTTCCAAAAAAATGTTCTAGTGAGCATAATCGCTTTACCACAGAAGAAATCACAACAAACACGGAAGACTGCCTGCATCATTCTTTACATCAACCTAGGCTACAATTGAGATTGTTTTAAGATGTTATCTTAAAACGTGTGGCAAGGGTCGCAATTTGCTTCCTGATGGCCAAGCCTGAGAGCTGGGCATTTGCCTGGCATCTTGTGAAACGCCCTGCACTTGCTGGAGTTGGAGAAGTAGAAAGAAGTGGGGAAGGAAGGAGCACTCAGAGTCTCCCTACCCTGTTCATGCTGACCCCTTGGAGCAGGTTAGGATTTAGGGGATAATTTCCTAGTCTACCTAGTTGAATTTAGCTGAAGATGATGCTCCAGAGATAAATTATGCAAACAGAATTTGGTTTAAGTTGGATTTAGCCTGTTCAGGAAGTAGGCTGATTGAAAGACTTTGGCTTTTTGCCTCGAGGTTGCAAGGACTGTCAAACCAGATAGTAAAGGGGAGGTCTCTCTTCCTTGGCTTTTTAGCTTGGGAATCAGAGGCAACGCCTTCTGCCTCCCTCTAAATGTGAGAAACCTCAGCAAAGGAAAATTAAAGAAATAAGCTCATGGCCCTCTTTCTCTACCTCCTGTCAGCCACATGCCTGCTGGGAAATAAGATTGTGAGGCATGAATATTTGGTCCTTTAAGGCTTTTCATTAGAGTCTCCTAAATAGACTGTACTTCATTACTGACATGCTGAATCCCTTGAATTGTAACTTCAAGGGAGAAATTTATTATAGCCCAAGAATTTTATGTTCTCTAATTTCTCTGTCACTCTTCATAAAAAAATGAAATCTTTTATTTAGAAAAATGACTTGATAGAAACTGGGAAATGATAAAAGATGTTTTTTCTTGGGAGCAATTGCAGCCTCTCAGCATTATTTCTGGCTTTTGATTCATTGTACTGAATTCCTGTGATAGCTGAATATTTAAAGAAAATGGATTTTTAAAAACAAATCCTTTTAAAGGCCAGGTGTAGTGGCTCATGCCTGTAATCCCTACAGTTTGGGAAGCCAAGGTGGGCAGATCCCTTGTGCCCAGGAGTTTGGGATCTGCCTTGGCAACATAGCAAGACCCTGTCTCTATTTCTTTAAAAAAATAAAAAACAATTCCTTTTAAAGAAAACTCATAAAATCCGTGGCAAAACTAAAAACAAATGACTGGACACTGTTGCTGGGACTTATTATAAAAGTGATTCTCATGAGCATCCTTTTACCATTGTAACTACTATGGACATAGAAATTCACTTACATCAAACACTTTTTATTAATGTCCTTGGTCTTATGGAGTCAGTCCTCAGTTTTGGCAGAAGCTTTGGAAGTAACACCAAGTTTGCCTGTTTCTGAGGGCGTTTATCTCTAGTTATTTGGCATCAGTGGCTGTTTACTTGTAAAGGTTCTCTGTGGGCACTAACGCTTTGGAGATGAAAAAGGATTTCAACACTTACAGAACAAGTCTTCTCAGAGGGGTTCATTGAGTCTTGTTAGCAGATTTACTGCTAGTCCTTTCTACCTGAAATGAATTCCTCCTATACTACATTGTTCTAGAATAATCTTCTGTGCATATGGATCCCATCTGTTATTTTCTCTGCTTCAGAACTCATACTGATATGCTCTAGCTTCCCACATCAGATCGTAATTCTTCTCCTTAGAACGTACTCCCTATTTCCTGCACATATGTCATCTAGCCAACTAAATTTTAAATTACTTGAAAAAAAGTTATGTCTTAGAATAGTGCTGTGCACAAAAAGTGGACCCCACATACTCATGCAATTGATATATGCATCCCCTTTTACATATCACTACCCACCCCTCACTGGGCCACTCTCACTAGTGATGTACATATCACTAACACCTTTCTACAAATTAAAAAAAACAAAACCCAGGTAGTGTTTATCATTTGCTGTAAGTTACAAATTATACAGAATGGCAGTCAGCATAATGTAATGATTAAGAGCAGTGACCCTGGAACCCAACTTATGACAACCATTGATTCAACCATTAACCAGCTCTGTAACCTTGGGAAAATTACTTCAACTCTCTCTATCTCCATTGCCCAATCTGTAAAATGGGGCAATGCACAATGACATATGACATTGGGTTGTTGTGATGATTAAATACATAAATGTAGAGCACTTAGCACATAATAAGTTCTAAATAATCATATTTAGAGCCATGCACTTCCATTGGTTTGGTGAAAAATAAATCTATGTAACAACTCAGGTAAGGAAACATTTTTCTCTTCAGTTAGCACTTAGAAGTACTAATGCTAGAACGTCATCACATTTGTATGAAAGCAAAACACTTCAATTCTAAAAACTGAGTTTACACAAATGATATCTGTGGATACTTGCCTTAATTTGCTGATTCCAGTTGCTAATGACAAGATTTGCTGTCTTTTCAACTTCATTGTCAAGCTATTGAAGAAGGAAAAAGGAAACAAAGCTTTGCTTTCTTCTTCTTTAGTCACTGCAATAGACTAAATGTTTGTGCCCCTAAAATTTATAGATTGAAACCTATTCCCTCAAAGTGATGGTGTTTGGAGGTGGAGTCTTTGAGAGATGATTAGGTCATGAAGGTGGAGCCCCCATGAATGAGATTGGTGCCCTTATAAAAGAGACTCCAAGAGCTGCCCAGCCACTTCTGCCATCTGAGGTTACAGTGAGTAAATAGCCACTGATGAATCAGGAAGTGGGCCCTCATCAGACAGCTAATGTGCGGGTGCCTTGATCTTGGACTTCCCAGCCTCCAGAACTGTAAGAAACAAATTCCTATTATTTATAAACTATCCAGTTTATGGTATTTTGTTAGAGCAGCCTGAACTAAGACAGTCACAGTACTAGCTTATCAATCACTATTACAATTCACGGGAATTTCAAGATCCTACAATGGACATATTAGACAAATTATCTTATCCCTGTGTCAAGTAACAGGACTTAGTAAAATAATTATTTCTAATCTATAAGAATGTAAAAAGCATGCAAACATGTGCAGTCATGTGCAAGAGGCCCTTGCATGAGCTGATATTGTTGCTAGTCCCATCACATCATCTTCCATGTCAATCCATGCAGCAAAAACCTCAACACCGTGAAAACTGGTAACAGTCCTAACAGTGCCAATTTTACTATGTGTCTCCATTGCCCCTGAAGTGAATATTGCTTTAATTTCAAAGATATTGAACTCTTAATCATAATTAACTTTTTCCCTTGCTTTTAAATAGCCAAAGAGACAGTAATAATAATGATGAAAATGATCCTGACAACTTCCCAGGGAGATCTGATGGAAGTTACAGCAGAACATTTTTCCCCGGAACACAGACCCAGCAATCAGCCATTATTCAACTACTCTGAGATCTAGCGAATGCTACACTTTTATTTTTTTCCAGTTGGTTCAATTTAGAGTATATGGTTCATTGTAACAGACACAATGAAAATATTTTATGTACTATGCCACTTTTGATTTCATGTATGTGGCTGGAATGTGGAACAAGTTCACTTTACAAAATAAAATCTAATCTTTTGTGAGAGTAGAGTGGGATGGTGGAGTGCAGTGGAGAGGGGCAATGCAGAAAAGAAGAAAAACAGGACCAGTAGTTTGGGGGTGCTCATGACATCCATTAACTAAAGCACTGTGATCAATTATCACAGGACTATGCCTCATTTATGGTAAATATTAAAGAAATGCTAATGACTTATGCAGTGTGAAAAATATTTTGTAATCAATGAAATATAGACTAGTAATTGGTTTTTATTAAGTTGGCTTGCTAAGGCAGGTTATATTGCTTGCTAGTAATTCCCATCAAGTTCTGTCCATCACCCGCAGCTGAATAGAGCATCCTTTCTGGTAAAATATACCTATGTACATACAAATATCAATTCCACTTCCTGACTCAGCTTAATGAGTTTGAATACAATTTTTAAAAATCATTTCTCTTCCATCAGAACTTTCATACCTCTCCTCATCCTTCTGACTTGCCCCTGAGGATGTGCTTTATCTGACTGTATTTCCTTGAAACTCCCCCTTAACCACCACCCCTTCCCTTCACAGGGACCACCTACCACAGCTTACAAACCTCTTACCTGCACCTGGTCCTGAAACAAACAGTGACCATAACCCCACCCCTATGAGAGCCAAGCAGTGTTTATTAAACACCCAATTATGTTGCCTAGAAGTAGAGTATAAAGTGCTTAACTACTGAATAATACACAAAGAAAAAGAAAAAGGAACACAAATGTAACTGTTCTAGGCCAAGGGCAGTGGCTGACGCCTGTAATGCCAGCACTTTGGGAGGTCGAGATGGGCAGATCACCTGAGGTCTGGAGTTGTAGACAAGCCTGACCAACATGGTGATACCTGGTCTCTACTAAAAATATAAAAATTAGCCAGGCATGATGGCAGATGCCTGTAATGTCAGCTACTCAGGAGGTTGAGGCAGGCAAATCACTTGAACCTGGGAGGTGGAGGTTGCAGTGAGCCAAGATGATGCCATTGCACTCCAGCCTGGGCAACAAGAGCAAAACTCCGTCAAAAAAAGAAAGGAAAAGAAAGAACGGGAGAGAGAGAAAAAAAAAAGAAAGAGAAGGAAGGAAGGGAGGGAGGGAGGGAGAGAAAGAAAGAAAAACTGTTCTAGAAGGAAAGGCACAGAGAAAGAGTAGAGGATCTGCTATCAGAGGACCAGGTGCCCCTGAAAGGATTGTTGAATTATTTTTCTGTAATTTTTAGGATATTTGAGGATTGTACCCATTATTACCTTTACATAATACCAAGCTAATAAGCTAGAAAACATCTTTGTAAAAATTGTGCTTATCATTCTCTTATTTACAAACAGAATGATAAAATTGTTTTTCAAATACAAAAAAAGTATAAAAATGAAATAAAAACCTCCAATTTCACCATCTAAAGATCACTCATTAACATTTTGAGAAGCTTCTGCCAGTTTTCTCTATACATATATAATATATACATATTCATTTTATGAAGTTGAGATTGTATAAATTAGACTTTTTTGTTCTGCTTTATTTAACAGTATACTGTGAAAAACAATCCCCATGTGATTAAATTCTTCTACAATAAGATTTTGAATGGTTGCAAATTATTCTATTGCTTAAATTTATCAAAATTTATTTTGAATGATTCAGTAGTTTCCAGTTTTTCACTATTATAAGCAATGCTCTAACAAACATCCTTGTACATAAATCTTGGATTTGTGTTTTTTATTATTCATTTATTTTAAAATAAATACAAGTATTTATTTTATTTTTAGGATAAATTCCTGAAAGCTGGTACCACGTTCAGATCACCTTTTCCTTTCTGGGCTAAACACAGGAATCTTGCTTTAAACAGGAAAAGTAAAGAAAGGTTTGGACTCACTGATTTTCTCTTCTTCTCTTGTACGTTTAGGACTTGATAAGTCGGTTTTATTGCTTCCAATTCAATTGCTTTGCCAAGTTTTCTGGAAATAAAACATAAAAGACACAGAAGCATAATATCAGGGTTTATATCTACTTTCCAAATTACTTTCTGGGGAAACAAAGTAGGGTGTTCTGGCACATCAATTCAGTGCAAGTTGGAAGTGGAATATTTGTAGCACACCCACTTTAAATATTTATGACTCCCTTTAGAGTTGGAGAAAGGCCAGGGTGGGAGAACTCACTGATGCAGGTCCGCTGTGGATTTCATTCCCTCTGAGGCCCAGGCCCAGGCACTGCTGATACAGCTAAAGGCAAAAACAGTGGGGAACAAAGGTGAGTGTCATTTTCCTAGGAAATAGGATGTGCTGGCTAGAAATACAACATCACATCTGATTCACCACATTCAACAATTGCATTCACTTCCCTAACCTTATTTCAATTTCTCTGTGAGATTAAATTCTGCCAATACATTTATTTGCGCTATACTCATTATATATACTGCTTTTTTTTCCAGTCATTTTTCATTTAGATTTTCATTTCCTATTTCATATCTGTATAAAATAGTGGAAATGGCCAGGTGTGGTAGCACTGCCTCAGTCTCCTAAAGTGCCTGTAAATCCCAGCACTTTAGGAGGCTGAGGTGGGAGGATCACTTGAGGCCACAGGTTCGAAACTAGCCTGCGCAACACACACAGCGAGAACTTTTCTCTACAAAAAAATTTTGAAAATTAGCCAGGTGTGGTGATGCATGCCCATAGTCCTAGCTACTACGGAGGCCAAGGTAGGAGGATTGCTTGAGCCCAGGAAGCTACAGTGAGCTATGATCATGCCACTGTACTGCAGCCTGGGCAACAGAGCAAGACCCTATCCCCTGAGCCCCTCTCCCCACCAAAAAGAAAAAAATAAGAAATAAAAATAAAATAAAATAGGGGAAATAAAATAGCTGAGGGTGAGAACAGGTTGGTCATAGGATACACATAGGTATGAAAAAACTGAGACTCAGAAAAGTTAAGTGATAAAGGGCTTGAGAGCTCTGCTCACGTCCTGCTGCTGTCCTTGGGGTTGGAGTCCGGCTCCTGTTCCCTGCTGGGTTTGAAGACAACAGCTCAGATAGTTTATGGTCCTATAAGCAGTATCTCACTTTAACACAAAGGATAATGCTACCCAGTCCCTCATGGCATAGTGGGAGGATTAGGAAGTGTGATGTCATTTTTCTCCCACAGTGGCCCTATCTAGTCTGCCTTCAACAGTCAGGATAGTAAGTCCAGTCACATCAAGAAACCCCAAGTACAGAGGCCTGTGTAGATTCTGATGAAGAGGAAGGGGGTGGATCTGCATCCTTGCCTTAATCAGAATGGTGCAGAGGTTTTGCCTCAAAATGCCTTAGTTTGCATCCTGCAGTCTAAGAATAAGAGAACTAGACCAAAAGATGCCAGATTTTCTACGCATCCAAAGCCAGATACGAGCTTAGGCACAAGAGCATACCTGCTATGTACTTACAATTATAGGAGATTCCAGAAAACACTAAATGAATCTATATTGACAGGAAGCAGATCAGTGGTTGTTTGGGATTGGGTGGGAAGGAGCACAAACAGGCATGATAAATCTTTTGGTGTGATGAAAATGTCCACATTTTGATTTTAGTGGTGGCTACACAGGGTATTTACATATGTCAAAACTGATCAGATCATATGCTTAAAATGGGTGCTTATTATTGCATGTAAATTAAAACTCAATATAGCTGATTTTTAAAAAATGAAGTCAGGCACATTTTAGGGTAGAGTATCTGACATTTGCCCCTTGGAGGAGCTGGGTATCAGGACAGGACCAAGCATGTGGCCTCAGAAGGGCCTGTGTCTGAATGGAGATGCTCCCCCTTTGTTTTCTGCATGACCTTGGAAGAATCTCTGGCCCTCACTTAACTGATCTTTTAAAGTAGAAGTAACTTGGTCAACACCTGGGAAAAGACGGGGTAAAAATTGAAAGAGAAGGAAGGAAGGAAGGAAGGGAGGGAGGGAGAGAGGGAGGGGAAAGAAAGGAAAGAAAGAAAGAGAATTAGAAGTAATGAAGTAATAAGATATCTGTAGTACCTAACACAGATTTGAGTATGGATAAAAATTCACTAATGTTCACTGTTAAATACTGTACTAATCCCAGTTGGCCTAACATTCTGGACCTGCCAACTCTTTGGTAGTATTCTGCTGGATGCCACAGCTGCAGCACAATACACACACCCCTACACCCCTATACCTCTCATTCCTCAGGAGGCAATTCGAATCAAAAACATAATGGACATTCACAGAGCTTTCGTTCCCTGCCAGGTACTCTGCTAAGCATACTTCTTCTATTACCGCATTTAATTCTCACAGCAGCCATAAGAGATAGGCTTTACTTTTATTTTAAAGAGATCTTGAGAGATAAGATAAATTGTCCTAGGTCATTCACCCGGTAAGTGGTAGAGTTAGAATTTAAACCTGGGCAGTCTATCTATACTCAACCACTGTGCTATACTGGTTTACTGTAGTCTACTAAAAGACTGTCCTAAAAATAAAAATAAAGCTAGAGCACCTTCAAAGTCACCATTTGTTATTATGGCTGATGCCTAAAGAAGAATAGAAATATGAGCTCCAGAAGGCTTCTTTTTTTCCTTTCCCCTCTTTATCTCTTTCATCATCAAAAGAGACCTCTACAATGGCACTGCCAGTTCAAGGGCACGTCTGCATGTATTAATCAAGAATCTTTGTAGCAAATTACCACGAATGAACTATTTTTGGTATACCACTATCTTTCTTCTCTCTCCCAATAAAGGAAACTACTTCATTCTTAGTGCTGCAATATATTGAAAAGAATGTGAACCAACACCTTTCAGCACATAATGTGCTAGGCTCGTCACACGCATGATCTCATTTAATATGCCTACGCACACACAATAGAGCAAATATTATTACTCTCTCCAACAGAGGAAGAAATAAAGGCACACAGAGGCCAGGTTACTTGTCAAAGGTCATAGAATAGAGAAAACATAGGATTCATACTTCCTGACTCCAAGACAATCTGACTTTACAACACCACTTCCCAAGTTAAATGTCATTACCAAGGCCTATTATGAATGTGGCCTTAGGAGTCATAAACACTGAGGAAGAATCCAGCTATGCAACTCATGATCTGGGTGACTGGGGGAAGTATCTTGAACTTTCCAAGTCTCAAGTCCTTATCTGTAAACAGGGATAACAAGACCTCTCAAGGGTTCTGATGAGGATTAAATGGGGGTATCAGTAAAGCATTAACACAGTGCATGCACACGGTAAGTGCCCAAGAACTGGAAGCCATGCTTGATGTGATGTACTTGCCACGTTTAGAAGAGGAAGCTGGAGTGGAACATATGTCACTTTTTACTACTTTTAAGAATGATTTTGCTGGGTGTGGTGGCTCACACATGTAATCCCAGCACTTTGGAAGGCCAAAGCAGGAGGATCACTTGAGCCCAGGAGTTCAAGACCAACCTGGGCAACATAGTAAGCCCTTATCTCAACAAAAAACAAATTTAGCAGGGCATGGTCCCAGCTACTCTATATGGGAGGCTGGGTGGGAGGATCGCCTGAGCCTGGGGGATTAAGGGTGCAGTAAGCTGTGATTGTGCCACTGTATTCTAACCCAGGTAACAGAGCAAGACCCTGTCTCGAAAGAAAACAAAACAAATGAAAAAAAGGGATGATTTTGCCTTACCTCTGCCACAATACTTACCTTTTTCTCGTGTTCTGTAATGCTTTGCTCAGCTTGCTTGCCAGTTTCTGAAGTCCTTTGGCATAGCTAATTTCCAGGTTTGCCCTGTTAGAAAAAGACTAGTTAAATGGGATGTGCTGGGCTGGGCGCAATGGCTCACACCTATAATCCCAGCACTTTGGGAGGCCAAGGCAGGCAGATCACTTGAGGCCAGGACTTCAAGACCAGCCTGGCCAACATGGTGAAACTCCATCTCTACTAAAAATACAAAAATTAGCCAGGTGTGGTGGTGGAAGCCTGTAATCCCAGCTACTTGGGAGGCTGAGGTGCAAGAATCGCTTGAACATGAGAGGCGGATGTTGCAGTGAGCTGAGATTATGCCACTGCACTGCAGCCTGGGCGACAAAGCAAGACTCCATCTCAAAAAAAAAAAAAAAAAATAGGATGCACTGGCTAGAAATCAAGCAAACACACACACAGATGCACACATGCACACATGTATGCACGAAGGAGGGGTCAGGCTGAAAATGTAATGCCTACATAAAGAGATGATTTGTTTACTACAAGGATCCTCTTGTCCTTAAGCATAATCCTGAAGGGTATCCAACAGGCTCCTAAAAAGACAGAGGTTTGTTTTTGTTTTTGTTTTGAGATGGAGTTTCCCTCTTGTTGCCCAGGCTGGAGTGCAGTGGCACAATCTTGCCTCATTGCAACTTCCACCTCCCAGGTTCAAGCGATTCTCTTGCCTCAGCCTCTCAAGTAGCTGGGATTACAGGCACGCACCACCATGCCCAGCTAATTTTGTATTTTTAGTAGAAACGGGGTTTCAGCATGCTGGTCAGGCTGGTCTCAAACTCCTGACCTCAGGTGATCCACCCGTCTAGGCCTCCCAAAGTGCTGGGATTACAGGCATGAGCCACTGTGCCGGGCCCAAAAGAAGAGTTTTTAACTAAGCTCCTTTGACATCACACTAATGGGTTGAATTGTGTCTCCCAAGAAGAAGGTGAAGTCCTACTCCCCAGTGCCTGTGAATGTGACCTCATATGGGAATAGGGTGTTTGCAGATGATGATCAAGTTAAAATGAGGTCACTAGGGTGGGCCCGAACCCTATATGAATGTGTTCTTATATAAAGGGAAAATGTGGACGTAATCAGACATGCACACAGAGAAAACGCCATGTGAACATGAAGGCATAGATCTGAGTGGTGCATCTACAAGCCAAGGAATGCCAAAGATTACCAGCAAATCATCAGAAGCCAGGACAGAGGCACAGAACAAATTCTCCCTCACAGCCCTCACAACGCACCTCTGACTGCTAGCCTCCAGAACTGTGAGCCAATACACTTCCGTTTAAGCCACTAAGTCTGTGGCTTTATGACGGCCCTAAAAACTAATGCAATTGGCCAGGTGCAGCGGCTCACGCCTGTAATCCTAGCACTTTGGGAGGCCGAGGCGGGCGGATCACAAGGTCAGGAGATCGAGATCATCCTGGCTAACACATTGAAACCCCATCTCTACTAAAAATACAAAAAATTAGCCGGGCATGGTGGCGGGCGCCTGTAGTCTCAGCTATTCAGGAGGCTGAGGCAGGAGAATTGCTTGAACCCAGGAGGCGGAGGTTGCAGTGAGCCGAAATCATGCCACTGCACTCTAGCCTGGGTGACAGAGCGAGACTCCACCTTAAACAAAAATAAAAACAAAACAAATACAACTAGTAAGGAACAGAAAACTGTCCTACTGATCTCAGGATATTAGCACTAATCAGATTAGCTCTAGATTATAATCGTTGGCAATAAAATAAATTACGATTGGATTAACCAAGCAGTAACTTTCTAATGGGAATCTGCAGTGGTAGCCAACACCAGATTTAGAAAATGAATTTCTATTACTTTCTGTGCAGGACAAGGCTCAGTAGGAAGTCCGGGCATGCCCTCCAAAAGCAAACCCCTTGGTTCTTTTGGATAGATTGAATCACTCTCATCTTAAACCTATTTTACCATGTCCTATTTATAGGACCATCTATAGCTAAAATGAGGGCATCTTCATATCACTTTTGACTACAGATAATAAAAATGTAAGGAATTAAGTTCAATTTATATTATGTTTCCCCTTTTAATATGGACCCTAAGAGTTTTCACTGCATTTTTCAGTGTGTTAATCTATTTTTATTGTATTTTTAGAATGATTTATGATGTTATTTCATTTGGGAAACATCCCAGAGCTCTCTAACAACTAGTCTAATACCTGCATGTTTTCACACAAATTAACTCCATGTCACAGACTGAGGAAAGAAAGACAGCCCTCTTCTAGAAAATGAAATCCAGAGATGATGGGCTATTGATCTATTGCTAAATTACTATTCTTTTTTTTTTTTTTCTGTTGGTACAACTGTGCTTTAAGTTGATTTTATCACTTTTTGTAAGAAAGTCATCGTAGGATGTATGTTAAGGCCTAGCTGCAGAAAACAACCATTTGGTGTCAGAATTTGCCCAGACATAAGGAAAGGCTGAGGCCAGTATTTTGAGACAATGAAGCCAGTCAATAAATATCTCATTGCACTTAAAAATAGATTTCTCTGCTCTAGGAATATGTCCCAGTTGATGGAAAGAGAGAGAAAAAGAGAGTGCTGGTTAACAGCCAGCTGGGAGAGACCATCACCCTTGATGAACTCAGATGCTCTGGAACCCCAGGAAATCTCTATCATTCAGTAGGAGTGGCTTCAGGTACTGTTAAAAAAGAAGTTATATGACCTACTTAAAGGGGGTTTTATGAAAAATAAAATGTGTTAAGAGCCCAAGTCTACTAGGGGCTCAATGTCTGGAACGATTGCTGCTGACCTGTAAAGCTCTGCATCATGTGACTCTGGCAGCCTCTCTGATTTCCCTTCCTGCCAGTCACAACTTGGCTGATTCTACTCCTACTCAGTGGCCAACTGCCATCCTGCCTCAGGGCCTTTGCACTTGCTGTGGCCTCTGCCGAGTGCTTCTGCTACATAGCCGCATGGTATTCTCCTTTGTGTCATCCCCAACAGGAGATGCTCGAACATCACCACCGCAGAGGTTTGCCCCATCTAAAAAAGGATCCTCGCCACTCTCCCCTTACAGTTTTATTTGTGTCTTATTGTATCTTGTATCACATTGTAATTTTTTAGTTTACTCTGGTGAACACCCCTAGGATGTGAACAGTTCTATAAGGATCAAGAATGGCTTTGTTCGTTGCTGTATCCCTAGGCCTAGAAGAGTGCTTGGCACATAACAGGCACTCAGCATGTATGTCACAAATGAATGAATGAATAAGTGAATGGACTTCCCACCAGGTCCTGGTTGGAATTCTTACTGGTCTCTGCCATAGACTTGTTCTTACCTCACCACTTTTGAGAACTGTAAATTAACAAGCTGTTTAGATGCAGTCTCTGTAGTTTGAGCTGTGCTCAGCCCTGATGTTAGAGCACACAGCTGTCTAGCACTTGAAATAGCTAGACACATAAACCCTTTCTGAGTACAGGAAAGCTAACCAGAGGGCTGTTTAGGTCTTTTCTTTCCAGCATTGCATTCTTTCTTGGAAGCAGCACAAAGAGCATTAAATAGGATAATGCTTTTTATAATGTTCAGCTCAGTGCAAGGCACAAAAATCATTCTTACTAAATATTAATTCTTCTAATGTGATCATTGTGTATTCAGAAGGAATACACAGAGGTGGGGATGGTGTGGGAGGAAGAATCCCCAGATTTCTTGTCCTTTGGCTCTAGAACAATCCTGAATGGTTTCTAACAGGAAAGGTAATGCTGTCAGTCACAGCCTCTTCCTCAGAATTCCATTCTACTTTCAGAATGTTCTTGCAGGCTGTACAAAGGTGTTTCTGAGGCTAAGCAGACCTAAAAAGGACACCAGAAAGAAGTGTTGCTTTCCTTTATGTTGTCAAGTTTATTCCACTTGGGGAAAAAAAAGTTGGGCTTTGGTGGTATGAAAAAGGGGTGCTTGTTCACTTTGAGGTGATTTGGGGCTTTTTTTTTTTTTTTTTTTTTTTTTTAGTTTGGCCAGCTTTTCTCCTGTGCCCTGGTGTTTCTGTCAGCTTTCTCTTGAGCATAATAGGAAACCAGCCTAAAGAGGTTCAACTACCACACAGCATTTCTTGTGTTGGGAGTCTTCTCTTTACAGACAAGTACCTTAGAAATCTTCAGCAAGGCAGATTTGTGGGTTTATAGAATGGTATATAGGTTAAAAGTTCCTGTATATTGCACATAAAGAGAGTGTCCAAACAGTGGTCTCCTGACAAAGGTGTTGCATCACCTTTGTGACATGCTGATGCTTGACCTGTGTTCTCCCTAGGCAAGAAACAGGAACCTCCAACACTTACTGGGCACTTACAATGTGCTAGGCATCATTCTAAGTGCTTTAGGTATATTTCCTCATTTAATCCCTGATAACCCGTGAGGCAGGTATACTCTGTCTACCCATTTCATGGAAGGGAACACCAAGGCACAGAGAGTTGGGTCAGTCACTAGCCTGAGGGCACACAGGAAGGAAGTGATGGTGACAGACTTAGATTCCAGCCCTGGGCAATCTGGCTGGGGAACCTGCCTGCTTAACCACACCTCTTTCCTACCTCTGAAGTTTTGGGGAAGAGATTGCAGATGGAGAATTGTGGGAGAAGTGGAACAAAAGTGCTTTCAAAAATTGATACCGCCTCTCACTTCACCTTTAATTGCAGTGTTCTGAATCAGCACAGCTCCTGGAGGCTGTGTAGCTGGAGTCCCAATTCACAGCAGCCTCGGTGCAGACATAATGAGCTTCCGGGCCTATTCCAAAGGCATCTGTGCAGTTGCAAGGCATTTGGGGAATAGGAAGTGGGGATGTTGAGGGTCTGGCAAAGTGGGAAGGATGGGGGCTCTGACAGCAAATGTCACCGAGCTAATACTTTGGGCTGGAGTGAGTTGGACACTGCCTCTCTGAACAGCACGAGTGTACCCTCTCTCTTTGCCTGTAACTTACTGATGATCCCAAAGGGTTTAGAACTAGCATTCAAATCAACCAAGCAAAGCAGGCTGCAATCATCTACTCTTGCATTTTAAATCCTAATGACCAGTTTGGGAACCTGAGCAAAT